CCCCTGTGTGCCTTGTCGACTCAGTTTTATGACGCTGGAAACCGCATCCCCGGAAAAATTTTAGCAAGTCCGTGCACTCGTTCAAACTTTGCAATTTTCAGTGTGGCAAACATGCTCTCAGATTTAAGAGTTTACAGCAACAGGGGTGCATTAAATTAAAAATCGACTCACAGTATCTTAAAGTAGAGATTTCAAGCTTTCATTTGAAAAAAAGTTCATCATTTTACGATGATTTTTCGCGGAGTTACCGTTAATCAAAGTTGACCAATTTTTGGTCAAAATTTTTCTATGCCATAATTTTTTTGAGCAGTGTATATGTATACCCAAAAATTCAACAATTGTCGAATGTTTCTTTAACACTTGTTTTAGCTCCCGGTTGTGCTTTTCAGTCCTTTCTGACATGTTTGTTCTGTGTTCTTGTTGGTGTACACAAAACGATGCGGGCTTAAAACCATTTATCCATGTGTTAGTAAAATATTCGACAAATGGTTTTATATAGTCGCAGTTTTTAAAAATAATATTAACAATTAATTCTCGAAGCCCTCTATTATTAGCTTCTCTGGTAAGAAAGCTAAACATATAAATAATCCCATAAAAAATCTTTTTAAAAAAAGAAAGAATATACGCCAAGTACCTAAAAAAATGTGTTGATCAAAAATAGTCGTGAAATCAATAAAATTAACCAAGTACCTCATTATTAAAAAAGACCTCAAAAAAGCTTATTTATGAAAAATATTTAAAAATTGAAAAATGGAAAAGTGATAAACTAGATTATAATGAAGAAAAAACTTGGCGTGCCCGGGTCGCATTAATTATATATATAAAGTAAGTATATTTTTATTTAACAGAAAGATAAAATTGTGTAAGTCCAAGCGTCACGTGTATAACTGACACGTTCATATATCCAATGTCCCTGGATACCGAGCGTTGCTGATTGCGGCTAGACCACGTGGGTGCGATACGCATCTATCGCTTCGCGAGAAACAGCCTCGCTGACAGTCCTCGTCGATGCAGAATGCGTGGATGAGGAGGCGGATATTACCACGCGGTTCTCTCGCGTTTTATCAGGCATCTCGCGGCCTCTCGACTCGCGCGCGAGTCGACTCGGCATACCGAGTCGCGCTCGAATACGCTTTACGCGTCCCCATTAGCCGGCACATCTCCCGGTTCACTCTCCCCCGGCTTCTTCTCTCCTCGTACGTACATACACGAGGTTTCCGTACACGTTGTCGCGTCGTCGCGTTCCCACCCGCATATCATCAGACCCCCGACCCCAAGGATCCTGAAGAGTTGCGCTAAACGCCGTCGCTGACAATGGTGCTTACATAATGCCGATGAAAAAGATTGATGCGCAAATCAATATACAAGGTTCATGGTTCTTGATCCCATTACAAATTTCAATTTTACGTTAAGATAAATCATACATTATCATTTAAAATAATCAAAATTTGAATTAAACAGTGTAAGCTAAAATATATCAGTTTAATAATTAACTTAATAATTAAAATCTTTTTTGAGTATAAAATTATTTAGTACACACTCTTTTAAATAATTTATTTATTTTTAATGTGATTTACGAATTTATTAAAAATTTCATTTTTATTCATTATACTTTTAATACATTGTTTTAGTTTATAATTTAATATTTACTATAATTATTCCAATTTTTACTAAAATTTATTATTATTAGAAAAAGTCTTCTAAATTCAAATTTATATATTTTTTCTTTACATGAAAATTAAAGTTAAGTAAAATTTAAATCATAGTTTTATAATTATAGTTTTTATAATTTAAGCACAATTTAAAGTTAACTAATAAAATATATTATAATTTGACTTAAACCATAATATAAGACTTAAATTATAAATACTACAGTTACAAAACTATAATTTAAATTTTACTTAAAATAATTTTACAGTTATCTACCTCAAGATATCTGCCTCGTGTATGTATTTTACAGTTTATTTAAATTTATAATTTAATAACCGTAAAAGTAAAACTAACTATATAATAATAAATAATATATAAATTTAAATCAAGGATCCAAAAATTTAATGATTTAAAATTAGAATTTCTAGATTATGATTAATTAATATTTGAAAAAATACGCTCCATATGTATATATATATATATATGAGTGTGTGTGTGTGTGTGTGTGTGTAAGTTGCATTAATAATGCACGTATTCTACTATCTGCGCGCGTGTTCTACTTGAACGGACTTCGGAAGTGTCGACCTATTTTTGATTTCGGTCTAGAAACCCAAAGGCCAATGTCACCCGTATTTCTCAATCGAAGCTGCAATCTCACTCGATAACATCCAAATGAGGCGTGAGGAATTGTGGGAGGATGTCCAGCATTAGCGAGAAAATTACGAAAATTATAAAAGCTCTAATATTAACTAGGAAATGACGAAAATGTGGGTAATGCACGGAATATCTGAGCCGCGAATCAAGACCGCTCCTTCATTACATAATTATTCCTGATGTAATCATATACGCGCAGAGTACGATAGATTACATAAGAAATAATGGCATAAGATATACAACTGTCCCAAGGAATAAAATGACTTGAAAACAAATATCCGCTGTGCAAAACGATAAAATAATAAATAACTATTTTTAAGATGGCATAAGTCGTTGTACACTTCTTTTAGTTACTAAAATTTAATTTGACCATTAATTACCTTGTATAAGCAAAGGGAAAATGTTCTTGTTTTATACCTCTCTTTTTGAGAGAGATTAAAATTAAGTAACAATTATAGAGAGTAAAAGTAGATTGGTATCAGTTTTAAGAAGTAGCGAAATTTTTTAAAAGAAAGGAGAAAAGGGAGAATTTATTTTCTCGATTCTGAGCAAAACTGAGCTCAATGCACGGCCTCCTCGAGACAGATCGGTACCAATTAATAAATTGACACGAGCAAAAGGAGCTTACTCCCCTGACTTCCGCCAATTTCGCGCAAATCGCATTCTTGACTGATCGATCGAGCATCCGAGCGCATCCTTTCGGAACGCATGCACGCGTGCACGCGCGCGTGTCCGTGCCTTCACACATGCGTGGTGTTAACAGCTAAGTAGAAGAAGGGGTGGGCCCGTCTTGTTGTCGTCGTCATCGTCTTAACCCGGGAAGAGGGGGAGAACGAGATCGACACGATGTGTGGACCAGAGGAAGAGAAGAGAGACAGAGAGCAAGAGATAAGGATGGTTGAAGATGTTGAAGAGAAATAAAGAAAGAGAGAAAGAGAGAGAGAGAGAAACAGAGAGAGAGAGAGAGAGTGAGAGAGAGAACCTTCCCAGATGAGCCCTCTCCTCGAGTCCGCAATCTACGGCTCCAGTCTCGCGTCGAGTCCCGTCGAGGCGCATCTTTCCGAGGTCCGTCTCCCTTGGGACCGATCGATCTCAAGCGGGCCGAAAGATCGATCGCTGGTCCGCCGGAAGTCGGAAGTCGCGTAGGTGTTCAAAAGTATACATATATATATACATATTATATTTCAGATCTTTTTATTTTAATTTTCCTTATTGGTGACGTGGATCTTGACTTGAAAACAGTACGTTGCTTGTCTCCTAAATATTTAAATAACGTCTATTACTTGATAAAAATATCGTCAAGAAATAAAATAAACTAGACACGAAATAAAATTCTGCTTTAAGAATCTTTTATAAGCTTTCTTTGTTAATTAATATTTATTTCATATTTAAATTTAATGGTTTATATGTTAAAATGCTTAAATTCGTGCAATCACAGAAAAAAATCACGTTGAGGAAAGATTTTCGATTTTCAATCTTCACATAATGTATCAAAGATATTTCTCCGTTACGTCAGATAGAGTCAGATGAGAAATTGTTGCACACACCACGTCGCCAATCGTATCATAGATTATTCGTGGCACACGAGTCAGGGATTAGATCAAGTCGCGAATCTGAATCTTGATTTCTCAGAGTGCTGACCTAAGCGAGCGATTTTTTTGAGAATGATCTTTGATCGCGGCTCTTGATTCGTTCACGCGTGATTGCGCGCGTCGTCGGAGATCACAACGTCAACGTCGAACACAGTTAATCGCGATATGCGCGATCGTCGACCAGCCCACGCGTGTGTCGCAGATCTGTTAGCGCGAATATTTGCGAGCGACTCGTGCTAGTTATGGAATTACACTAGACTGCTGTTCGTTTAAACAGGTATGTCCGAAAGACCGCTTTTAATTCGTCGCGATGAAAATCTCACTTTCCAAAGAAAGGATAATTCTTATTCTTTCTAAAATATTCCCTCCTCTTGAAATATGCTTTTTCGCTTTCGAGAAAAATCTTTCTTCTTGCGAAATCGAAGAAATCTGTATTTTTTTTTTAAGGGAAATGTGAGGCAAAAGAGATTTTTAATTGAAAAAAAAAAACAAATTTTTGTCCCATACAAAAAAATAAAACATTTTTATTCTTATTACGTAACCAAACAAATTTTCTCGGAAATTTTCGTCTCCTCGCAAAGAGGAGCTCTCAATAGGCTCGATAACACCGTGGTGCAGATTTTACGAGCTCATTCGTTACGGTGGTGAAACGCTCAAAGCTGAAACGCTCCGGTTGAGGTCCTATCTCAATTCATTCCGCTCGTAATAGGACGTGCGAGCAAGGCCTGCTCTTTTTCGCGGGAATCGCTTAGGTTTATGGAACTAAAGATAGGCTTCAAATGCTGGTCGCGCTTTTGTGATAACAAGTGGAGCTTATACGGGCGGCAAATACGCGAATTTGCGAGACACGCTGCTTTAATTGAAACCTCCTTCTTCTCTTTCACCTGAAAGAAAGGAGAGTAGATAATTCATTCGAAAAAACGAAAGATTTAAAAAAAAAAAACTTCTGAAGGAAAAAACAATTTCTTAAACCGAAAAGTGGCAAATATTATACATATTTATATTTCTTATATTTCTATAAGAAAAGTAGAAATTTTACATGTCCCTGAACTACTATACTCAGAGAAAAAGATATTGATGGCAATTATAAAATGTAACAACTGTACAGATTTTATATATACAATTAATGTACATAGTTGAATAAACTGTTGTATAGTTGCTGCAACTATAAAATAATTTATTTAACTATGTACATTAATTTTACATTTAAATCTTATACATGAGTCACTATGTTTTTCTCTGAATATATTTGTATCCAATTAAGAAAATATATTACGAAATATACTAATCCTTAAACATATCGTAGACAAATAGACAAAATTAGAATGTTCCTAAAACTCGTTGAATTTACAAATTATTTTCCTCATTCTACGGCGTTAAAATACGTAAATGCATTTTAATAAAGGGATAAATTATTCGTCACGACAGTGCGAATTTAATCATAAATTCTCGGCTCTCGCTCGCCAAAACGCAATGGTGGATATTTATATCAGAAGATAGTTGCTTCTATCTCGTCGTACTAATTTGGCGCTTCCGGAAAGGCATCATCACAGTCACGAGCGAATTATCGCATGTTATGTTTCTCGGCGAGAATTTACGCGGTAAAATAGGAAAAGGAGGCTGCACAAGTTTCACAAAACTTTTCTTTCCAATTAAGCGGTATACATGTTAAGCCGGTAATTTCTAGACAATTCCAGAAGGATCGAGTAAGCATTTATGCGGGACAGGCTCCCATAAAAGAGCTCTAAATTATTTTTATAGGCAAGTGGAATGATCGCGATAACTTGGAAAAATCCTTCGAGATCGATCGAGGATGCGTGTTAAATACACGAGTATCGAGACCGCGAGTTAAAAAAGGATTATCCAGGATAGTGTCCGAAGAAGGAGTCGGATTAGAGATAGGAAGCTGCGAGTTTCTTGCGCAGGATGTTGGCACTGCTACTGCTGACGGTCTGGATCGCCCTGGCATCTGAACTCGTCCAGGATGGAGTAGCGACGGGGCAACGCTACACCCCGAGTCCGACCCAGGATCTGGACAACACTCTGCAATCGGTGTCACCCCTCGGGTGAGTATTCGCAATACAGTCGCAAGATCTTTAAACTCTGTTAGATATTATATATTTCTTACCATTTTTTAATGATTCTAATCTCGGAGTAAAGATAACGCATCCCGTATGTATCAATAATAATTTAAATATAGTGTTACGAATCAGGAAATATTATAGAGGTGTGCGAATCAATCGTTTGTATGGTCGAATTGAATAGAAACGAATTTTTGATAACGAATGTTCGAAATCGAATTGAATCAAATGTGAAATTTTTACTTCGAATCGAATCGAATTAAATCTGAATTAAATTCTCCCAGATTTACTTTTTGCATATTACTTTATACGTAATTAAATATCAAAACTTGTTATTTATGATTTACATTATTTTACGCAATGATTTAAATAAACTGAAGACCTGTTTTTGATTTACATCTCATTACACAAGATTATGATCTTATGTGACACTTTTGAACTAGAAAATATGTAATTAATAATATGTGTATACACGAATAGTTAGAATGCTTTCGAATATCTTATTAATCTATATGGATACGTTACATACATCAAAAATACTTATTTATTTATTAGATAAGAATAATTGGTCGCGCGGGAGACATAAATGAAGCAAATAAAATAGGCGGTTGATTCGAAATTCTCGAACTATTCGATTTCGAATTTTACAGATTCGAAAACGAACTCGAATCGAATCCACTGTGATTCGATTCGATTCGATTCGAATTCGAACTATTCGCGCACCTCTAGGAAATGTGTATTTAAAAAGTGGACAACATTTCAAGGTTGTCGGTAACAATAACGAGAAAGAATGTCTGCAATGACGAAATATCACTTACTACCGGCGTCCTTGACGAACCACGGACGGTCACTTAAAAAGATTAAATCGTCCGATCTTTAAGAAGCATCTCGGTAACAGTCCGGCACTTATTTCGCTAACAGCGTGGATCTCTCGAGAGCGATTCCGATGATTCCCTCGTCCTCGTGAAGTTAAATGACGCGATAACACCTAATTGGGTTATCGGAGTGTTACGTTATGCGCGGCGCGCGCTGAATTCTGCCCAAGTCGTGCCCATTTTTTTCTCTCTCTCTCTCTCTCTCTTTTTCGCAACGAGAGTCAAGTCGCGCCGATAAAGACTTGCACTTGCGCTATTTTCGCGGCTCGCCGCCTCCGGGCACGGCTTCGTGCGCGGATGATGCTTTCGCGGCCGCGCGGAAAGCAGATGGAACGATAAACGGCCGACTAAACCGTGCACACTTCCACCAATGCGACCAATTGACAATGGTATGCGCGCGAGACGAAATATTTTTCCTCAAGCGCGGCGTGCCAATCGCGATTCGTCTGTCCGGCTGCGTCCGAAAAGTTCTGACGAACTGTCTTGAGGTTCTCGCGAAATGACATTTGAGAAATTATAGCGAGACAGCATCAAAGTGCGCAAATTAAGTATATAAGTATACATATGCGCTCCGCGCTGATCTGACAGCAGCGTATTAGAGCAGGATTGCATGCTTGCATATAATTGCGCGAATCGTTAAAATTCTAATGCGCGTGGGAATGTCTGCAGATCTAGTTTCATGAAATAATCTCATGGCTGGTTTCGACACTAATTTCCATTACTAATTTCATCGTTTTAATATACCGTAACTGGATGGGATACTTATCGCGTCCCGTCGAAGCACGGACGGAAATTAATCCGTTTGCGACACGCAAGTGACAAGTTCTATGCCGCTATAAAATTATTCACCCGAGTCATTCGCTATTCGATTACAGCTTCTTCTATATATAAAAATAATATATTTGCATTCAGAGAAAAATGTAGTAACTATACAGACGACAACTATACATGTTTTATATTTAGAATTAATTAAATGTAGAATATGTACATACTTGCAGAATAAACTAATGTATGTATATATATATATATATATATATACATACATTAGTTAATATATATATATATATATATATATACATACATTAGTTAATATATATATATACATAAATTAATTAAATATATTCTGCAACTATGTACATATTCTACATTTAATTTATTATATTAATTATATTAATTATATTTAATTAATTTAATTTTATATATATATATATGTTAAATAAACTATTTTATATAGTAATACTTACAATTAGTTATGAAGCCATTGACAATGACTGAATAAACCATTTCATAACTATCATAAGTATTACTATATAAACCATTTCATAACTATCATAAGTATTACTATATAAAATAGTTTATTTAACATATATATATATATATATAAATTAAATTAATTAAATATAATTAATATAATTAATATAATAAATTAAATGTAGAATATGTACATAGTTGCAGAATGTATTTAATTAATTTAATATATATATATATATATATATATATATATATGTTAAATAAACTATTTTATATAGTAATACTTAGTTATAAAATAGTTTATTCAGCCATTGTACATTGATAATGACTGAATAAACTACAAAGGTGTCAACTACATTCTAAGAATTAATTTATAGAATTAATGTACGTAGTTGAGTAAACTAAAGTATATATAGTTGAATTGACTGCAGTATAGTTACAAATATATAAAAATTATATATATATTAACTGTATATAAAATAGTTTATTCAACTATCTACATTAGTCCTGCATATAAAACTTGTATAAAATTGTCCACCTTTATAATTGCCATCATTGTCTTTTTCTTTGAGTTATGATGTAATTTGCATCAGTTTCGCCGTGTATGACACAGGCCTCAGAAATTATCTCCCCAGCGCAGTCGAAATATGAATAAGCTCGCTACATTATCTTTACATTTAGAGTAAATACAAATGATAAATGACAAAGTTCAACGATTGTAGGGCAACCGTTATCTGTAGTTCGCTGATTACGCGTTTTACGATCCTTCGTGTGTGTTCTTTGAGACGCGACAAACATCGTTCCACTTTGGCTCTCGCACCTTCTCGCGCCCGAATATAATGCCGAAAATGTTGTAAACTCACATTTTTACGCATTTCACGCGACGTATTTCGGACGCCCACGATCGAATTCGAGCGGACACGATCAACGATGAGATGGCGATACGTCGGATGGAGGTCCCATCGGAATTGCAGCTAATTGACGTTATGATATTAATAACGCTCTTAAATGTCGCCGATTAAGTAACGCTATCTGAACAATGCTTTTAATTGCCTCTGACAGAACACCCGTTAATACATCTACATTAGCGAAGCGCTCATTTAACCCTTCCGGTCGCGTATGTCCCCTTTGTCGGTACGTTCAGTCGCGGTTTAATTGTTTGAAAGTTAAAGAGGTATCTTTTATCGATACTAGAGCTTTTTATAATAATTTAAATTCCTGCTGCCTTCATAACTTCTCATTTAACTTAAATGTAGCTTGTAACTCAAATAGTTTTTAATTTACACTTTGACCTATAAATAAATCTCAAGATGCTTTTTAACTCGCATGATTTGAAACCAGCGTCCCGAAATACTTATATATATTTGTATTTATCACCGCTGGTCCGAAGTACCAGTTTCATTTACTGTTATTGTAATAAAATAGTTTATTCAACGTTTATTCTATGTATAATACATTAATTCAACATATAAAATTTGTATATAGCTGTCACTTTTGTAGACACCTATATTTTTCTCTGAACGTTCGCATCTTATTGTTTACGTTTTTCTATGTGCCGGTGGCCTCTTTTAGATTTTTCACGCTTGTCGTTTTAATGAAACGTTTTTTTACTCCGATCGTGTTTATGTTGCACTTTAAACTTTTAAAATTCTTCTAAATGTAAAATTGCGCCTTGCATATCTTCCGATTAAAATGTGTCTGTCTTACGTAAAACGAGACAGCTGTCTTTGCCAAGAAGCAAAATTGACTTAGAAAATTCGAATGTCACGATACAAACTACAAGATGAGAACAAACTTTTGTTGGCAAGCTGGAAAAATTGGATCAGAAAATCCAAGTGTCAACGATGCGAATTGCGAGACAAGAGTAGACTTTTATTGGCGAGCAGGCGCTTCCTTTCCTTCCGTGCGAGTTGCAGCTGCTGTATTATCCAGTTCATAAACGCGCCGCATGTCCGCACGTTAATTAATTAACAGGGCGGAGATGGAATGCGAACGGGCGGCCGCGGGGGGGGGGCATCCCCCTCCCCCCCCTCCCTCCCGGAATACGAAGTGCATTATAAGTATATGTGCACCGCGGTTTTTTGTCGACGCCGCGCGAGAGATGACCCGTTCACCGTCATCCGGTGCGTCTATGAGCGTATTGTGCTGGCGATTCATCATTTCGCCGAATGATGAATGATGCCCTCCGCGCGCGCGGAGCCCCTGCATGCAACGCGCCGCGCGCGCGAGCCGTGAACCGCGAGTCGTCCCGATCGCGGCACTGATAAGCGAGGACCGAGGGAGCCGCGCGCGAAGAACGCGGCTCGACCGCGAATAATTATACCGCGAGAAAGAAGAAACCTCGGAACCTGGGACGGACGCGCTGGTGCGTCCGACCGAAGGCGAAGGAGTACCTCGTCGGGCGTTATATTGTAATGGTATACAAATGCTATATCGGAGATAGCATTCGCCACGAGCGAATCTGAAGCCTCCGTCTGTACTTCCCCCTCTCCCGCGCGCCTCGCCCTTTTCTCAAAGCGTCGCTCAATTTTATGTGCGCACTGCATAATGCAGAGCGCGTTCTCGGTATACGTACACGGAAAGAACGATTTTGCTGGAAGACCAAAAAAAAAATCTGAAAATAATTTTTGTTAGGTCATCATCAAAATAATTTTGTTCGAAACTGAAAGTTAAACTGATTGCTAAAATATCAAAACTTTTTATAGCAATGCTTATTATTCTTGAGTTTCCGACAAAATATTTTGATGATGCTATAACAAAAATTATTTTCAGATTTTTTTTTGGTCTTCCAGCAAAATCGTTCTTTCCGTGTATGCACGAGAGCGAGATCCGTGGATAAGGGGACCTTATCGGTGCCCAAATGCACGTCACCCTGCACGATCTGCTGGTGGACGGATCGGTGATCCGTCACTCCTAACGTCACTCTCGTTCCTCTCGTTTAACAACGCGAAAAATAGGATACAGGGTCGATTTTAAGTCTAACGGGATCGCCACTTAAAATTATCCACGGTTAGTCCGAGGTACTTGAGACTTATTTAAGCCGCGTATTACACGACGCCCGGCGCGGCAGGAAGTGAGGAGGCAACTCCGAGGGATGTAAAGGCGGTTAGCATTAGAGCCGCTATCGCAACCTTTAGCGCAACTCCGTGACGAGGCGCCGTTTCATACTTTATCGATGTCTGTTAACGTTCGCTTTAAAATAAAGCAGAGAAGAGAGAAGAAGGGATCGGGATTATGTAAATAAAAGGCTGTAATCCTGACGGATGATGATCGACTGAAGTTCGATCGAGTATCGATTAGAGTTTTTACGTAGCTTCATTTTCAGGCCAAGGACAGATAAAAAAGTGCAAGCAGTAAGATAATCTGCAGCACTTTTTATTTGCTTCTATTTATTGTCTATACGTTCTCGATTGATTGATCGAATCTTCTACTGTTCTCTCAGAGATAAAAACATAATGGCAACTATAAAGGTGACAATTATACAAGTTTTTTTTACAGTCATTGCAACTATAAAATGGTTTATTCGACTATATATTGCAATACATTAATTCTACATATAAAACTGTGTAGTTGTCACTTTTATAGTTGTTACCTACGTTTTTCTCCAAATATTTTTTATCTTGCTGTTTACGTTTTTCTATATGCCATGGCTTCTTTAAATTTTTCACGTTTATCATTTTTTGCTCCGATCGTACTGTTTGTGTTACACTTTGAACTTTATTCAAAAATCAAATGTTCGTATCTCAACACCTGAAGCCACTTTAGTCCTCGAGAAAATTTTGTCACGACTTGTACAGGAAGCGATGTCGAAGTAATGAAGCTGTCAGCAACCGAAGGTTGTTAAACCTAACCGACATGCGCTGTGTAATGATAAGAAGCACGTCACGCACGTGAAGCTGTTTTTCCGTCGCTCATCGCGCCGACTAATTTTGATTTAGTGCGTAATTTAAGATCGTTACTGTCCGCGCGATCGCCAGGCGCAATTATTTCCGACATGAAGAGACAAATGATTACGCGAGCCGCGTTGCCGCGAGCGAGATTCCACGGTTCCGGAAGTATTCCGGGGTATCGAAGTTCTGCGGTACGAACTTGAGATTCTAAAGATTCTCCAAGATATCTCTAGAGTAGCTCGCTTGATGGGACGAGTTATCGAGATATATCGGCGCTCGATGTCTTCTCGCGCGCGACATAATTGCAGTGCCGCAATGTAATGTCGCAATACCGCGAGTCGTGACCAATTGCACTTGTGACACGTGCGCTCGTTTAAGGAGACCCGCGCGAACAATTGCCCCGGTCGTGCTTTTTGCGATGGCAATCATCCTGATCGCGCGTGAAACGCTACTGTTTGTCTGCCCCTAATCACGATGGGAAAGCGCGACTGCTTTTGATCGCCTTAATTTTAATGGCCCGCAATTCGCGCCGTTCGTTCTGACGCTATTGTAGTTTCCAATTGGACACTCTCGCAAGCAGTTAATCACACTAATCGGGGTTTATGTTATCCAGATGTGCCAGTCGTTTATACAGTTTCATTAAAACACTATTAATTCTTTGTAGATAATAATAATTAATAGTAATTAATATAACATTAAAATATTAACTGTAACACGTGCAATTTTTTAAATACAATAATTTTATAAATTAACATTTTATAATACTAAAAATACTAGATTTCACATATTACCCGACAAACACAGATTATAACTGCAATATTGCAGCTTAACATTGTAATATTTCTGCGATATAACTGAAATGTTGCAACAAGCAACATTGCAGTTATCATCTGTGTTTGCTGAATAATATTTGAAAGAAATATATTAGTTCTTAATCGAGCTGATGTTCGCGACATTTAGAAACAGTTCCCTAAAAAAAAAAAACCATAAAACTTTAACTCGAAAAAAATTATGATAGATAAACTTAAATAGAATTCGAGAAACTGAAAATTAAACTTTGAAATCATGAAAATGTGGGGGAGCGTAGAGAGAATGGGGCTTGTGTTTCCGCCAGAGAAATGAGCGCGAGGAGATCTTCAAATAAAGATATCGGCCGGATGAACGCGCTGCGCATTGATTTCAGGGCTCGTTAGAGGACACGCTATCATTACGGGCGGGTGTTAAAATTACACCCGTGCCGACACGCGGCTATAATGGCGCGCCACGCGTGTTGATCGGCGCGATCGGACACCGCGATACAAGTTCGACGGTGGACCACAATCTCCCAAGGAGCGTCCATTTGCATACAGATTGGATTAAAGCTTTCGGCCCCTGGCGTGACGCGCGAGGCGATGATCGACCGAGCGTCCTCATAATTCTGCCGCCGATTATCGTTATTATTATTATTACCACTCGAACGCGGGGCCCCCGCTGTAATTTTCCAATTAACGCGGTCACGTATATCAAAGTTAGCCATCTCTCGCCGATTTCGAACGTTCGCCGTACTTAATGACAATCGGGCACGTTTTAACGGGATTTTCATCGTCGCTGATAATAAGTGCAGTGAAACATAAAGGGAGATAAACTCAAGTGCACTGCGTCGAGACGACGAGAGAGAGAGAGAGAGAGAGAGATTTTCTCTTAAACGAGTTTGGGCAGAGTTGAGCTCTTTATGACACCTAATTTACCCAAATGGCACCCACCTTTCTCTTTATCTTCCTCTCTCGAACTAGTCCGGAGAAGTCGCGCGGGATCGTTTCACCGACGCGTATAATCGCGTGTAAACATCCGTCCAGGTGTACTACACCCCTAGCAGTTAGTGGGCCACTGTTTGAGCAAGATTGCTTCATCACGCCGCTGTGCACACGCATTTAAAATATCGTCTTACAAGCGGCCCCCGCTGTAACATGCCCCCAGCCTGCGGAGATGATACGCGCCAGGCGTGTGTAGCGCGTATGTCAGAAGTCACGCGGGAGGAAATGTACGAAAAGGAAGAGCTCCCGAGAGATGCCGGACGTACATACACGCGAGTGCATTAATCTCTCTCCTCCCTCGCGCCGCAGCGAAACGAGAAACGACGACGTGTTGGGCCCCCGCTCGAAGGGCACGCGAGGGAATGCAATTAAGACGATCCCGCGGATCGCTGCAGCGCGGGAGAGCCTCCGCGAGATCTCATTCGAGGGATCTTAAAATCGCGGAATTTTACCCCCCCCCCCCTCCCCCGGTGTGCGAACGTAATTATATCCAATGTTTCGCGGAGAGAATTTCCTTTTAAAATTTACCCTGAAAATTTTGCTGATCGTGGGACAACATACAGTATTTCGACAAATTTTATTGTACACTACAATAAATTTTACTGTGCACTACAATAAATTTGTTGTAGTATATATTTAAAAAAAATTGTAAAAATTATCTAAAATTCGTCGAAATAATATATGTTGTCCTGTAAATAATATGATTTTCAGAGTAAATTTTAAAATAAAATTCTCTCCGTGATTCGGTACGCCGGAAATGCCGGAACTCGAGTATTCCGGCGGAGCGGCCAAGCACTGTGAAATCCCTGGGGAGGAAATTCTCTTTAAATGATCGAAGAATCAAACGGATCGAATCGACGGATCTCTCTCGGACTTCAAAGAATCTCCGAACTGCAGCCCTATACAAAACCCTCTGTGTCAGATAACGATCGTGTTATCGCCGCGCGATAAAAAAAAAAGGAGGAATAGCGTGACGTGAGAAAGCCGGTGATGATGCTCTGAAGCGTTTGCGATTGCGGCGCCGAGGGGCGTTTAAGTGGCGGCGTTTAAAGCCGGTCGCGGTCCATAGCAGCTGACGTTAATTACGAGGCGCCAGATGTGAATGGCCGCCTTGTTCCGAGGTGGCACTTCGCTCTCTTCCTATTCTTCCTTTTCCTCTATCTCTTTCTTTTTCGCTCCTCTTTTCTTGCGCGTGCCACGATACCGCGGAAACGCCGCGTTTCCGCCTGCGGCTTCTTCAAACTGGCGCCACAGAGAAGTGAGTTATCGTGATTAATCCTTGCTTCCACCAACTTCGGAAGTTAATGAAGAAACTCCTCGCGGTTCGAAACATTCATGAATACAGGAATATAAAAAGGAATCTTATACATACATTTATCTTACAGAATGTATACCAGCCCTTTTGTCCTGCGATAAGATAATTATATGATTTTTAAATACTTGGAAATTTATTTGATTATAACGATAAAATATTAGGAAATTTTATGTATTAACACATAATGTTATTTTACTTATACTTCTGTAAAAAAAACTATATAATCCAATTTTCTCCGTAAATTTTATAATTTTTATTCAAATTTACTATAAAAATTAATTTACATAATATTAATTTATTATTTTAGGTAATTATTTTTTATTTAATACTAACAAATTTATTCATCAATTTTTAATTAAATAAAAGTTCAAATTTTATACTGTTATTTAAAAAAAAAAGACTATCTCAACCTTGAGCCAGTCAATTGAATAAAACGTTAATAAAATATATATATCCAATGGAGAAACAATCTACTTGCTTTCTGTTTATTTTTTTAATTATCACTGCCACCTACATGTAAATATTGGAAAATTTTTTATATTTTTAATTAATGTTTAGAAATGTTTTCTATTTTAAACTTGATTATAATTAGTTTTTAATGTTAAATTCATTGTTAGTAAAAATATTAGTTAGTAAAAAATTGCTTAGGTAGATCATATTAGGCACAGTTAATTCAAATTTTATTTAATAAATATTTATATATAAATGTATATACATATTTATATATATTTTTTTTAAATCATGTGTATGTATATATGTATCTCTTAAAGTCGAAAAACATTTTTAAAATGCTTCTAGGCCAAACGTGTGCAGATCGAGGTTTAAAAACTATTGCTGTCCGGGATGGTCAAAGAAACCGGAAACAGGCTTGTGCGTCATTCGTAAGTAAAAGTACCGTTCAAATTTTACTAAAACGTTATTTTGTCAAAGTTTATAATATATTGTATAATTACTTCAAGAATAATTAAAACGATAACACAATGAAAAACGTAAAAGAAAAACAAATGAGATTAAAATTCAATAGAAGAATTAAAATGTTTACTTACAAGCTAAATTCAAAATGCAATCGGTCAATCGTTTCCTTATTCATTTCTATGATAATTAATTATATAAATATATTATATGCAATTAAATTATTCTTATGACTAAAAGAAGTAAAATCTAAAATACATAGTAACACTGAATAGCGATAAAGCTATAATATTACTGGCAATAATGAAGCAAGCGACGATCCAGGACCTCCCTATAATGATCCATATCCTTACGATCCTAGCTCAATCGGACCTCCCGCGAGATATTCGCGGAATGGAAAGCGGTTATTAATATCGGGCGAGAGGAACCACCTATCATTACCGATACTGCCATGGGAATGATAACGATCGATGCAATTACGTAACGGACAAATGGGCATTTATGCGACACGAACGATCGCCTCGAATAAAACTGGTTTAATGACCTGTTATGCGCTTCCTGTTGATCGCATTGTCTGGTAGTGGTAATGTGTGGCCGCACTCCGCTCGTGATCTGCATTCCGTCACAATTTCCGGGTGTCTGACAATGTTATTGACAATGTAATTCATAATGTTTCATAGATGTTGTTTCCAATAGCATCGTTTTCTATTTAAAATTATTATTATTTTATATTATTAGAATTAATGTAATTCCTACAATTATATTTCTATACAATGAAACAATAAAATAAGAACGACTTATTCTCTCTCTCTCGTTTATTTATGTAAAAAAATTACAAAATATTTTAATTTTCTTGCTCTTTAATATTTTTGCTGCAGTTAATTATTCTATTAGAGAGAAAAAAATTAATTGTAACTTTTATCAATACTTGAGATAAGCCCATGGCACATAGAAAAACGCAAAGCTATTTTACGTTTTTCTACGTGCCGTGGGCTATACTCTTGAGCTTTTAAATATTATCTACTCTGTTTTAGCGATTTGCGCTGCGAGACGCTGCGGTCCTCTCGGGAGATGCATAAGGCCTAATATCTGTTTGTGTGAGGGTGGCGTGGTCGCTTCCGCCTGTGGCAACGGTCAAAGCAAAGGTGAGACATAAACCGGATGTTCTTTAAATCAGTTTCTCCGACCAAACCTTTTGTAAAATTGCAGTTAGTCATTTTTTAATGGTAAATTTAAAAAAAACGGTGGAAAATAGAATCTTTTTATGATCTGATTCAACAAATACATCATCAACAGTTATAGCCCACGAGACTGGAAGTGCCGGCGATCGCGGCGATCGCGGCGAGACGGGCAGATGTAAGGTTCACTGCATAAACGGAAACTGCGTCGACGGCCGATGCCAGTGTCGCAGCGGATACCAGGGAGAATTCTGCAATGAACGTAAGTGAAAATTAACGCACAACTAAAATAATGCTAGCTGCAGCAATACTAAACAAATGTACACGGAAAGAACAATTTTGCTGAATCCAGATCTGAAAATAATTTTTGTTCAATAATCAAAATTATTTTGTGCGAAAGTAAAAATGATTGCTAGAATATCAAAACGTTTTAAAGTAATACTTATCAGTTTTAACATTCCAACAAATTATTTTCATGATTTAATAAAAAATTATTTTCAGATCTGTTTTCAGCAAAATTTTTAGATTGTTCAACAAAATTGTTCTTTCCGTGTATGAATAAATTGTAAAATCGTGGCTTACAAAAAAATCGTAAAATCTTTTGTCTATAGTCGCACAGGTTGTGTCGTACAAGTAATAGAGTCGCAGGAGAATTTGTCGTAAGAATATCGCAAGATGAGTGTATCTACAACAGTCGCAATTAAGAATTGTTTGCGATAGGCAATCAACGAATTTCTACCGCCAAACTTGCTGTGAATTGCAGACTGAATGTATGCGACACCCTGCTTGTCACAGTCGCTGCTAAAAATTAAATTTGCCTCAACTCTGTGCGACAAGAGCTCTTGCGACTGCGACTTTATGATATTCTCATATTGACACAGTCGCTCTGATGCGAGGCATAAGAAGTTAAGTTTTACACAAACTGCAATTCTGTGCCAGTAGAGAAAAGAGAGATTAGTTCGACGAAAATTGTTATTTTATTCTTTTCAGATAGAAGATGTAGAGACATAATAATAATAAAAATTTGTTAAATTCATGAACCACAACTTAATAGACAGCTTCTAGTTGGCCATAAGATTTACGAGAAATCGTACAGATATTTACTAATATAATTATATGTTTTTTATGGTATACTGAGAGAAAAGTGAATTTGATATTTGTGATTATACATGGTAAAATAATTATAGGCTTAGAAAGTTTTATTTTTTTTGCCGTTATTACTACTATAATGATTTTAGTAATAACTAATAATTATATTTATACCAAAAATATTATAGTTGACACTAAAAATGACCTTATATTATAGTTAACTTATGGTAATTGCAACTATTTTTTTCTCTCAGTACGCATAAAATTGCACTTTTAATCATAAATTCTTACAAGTCTTAAGATAAACGTACCATAGTGACTGGACGTTTAGAAACCTATGTCCGGACATTTACACAAAATTTATTAATCCTAAATGCTTTTTTATTATAATATAAAAATTTAATTTTAGTAAAGATATTTAAAGATTACAATTAAATTATAAAAAAGCGTTTGAGATTATATTACTTTATGATAAGTTTAGTGTTTCGATATTGATACACGTCGAGTCATTATTATACGTTTACTTAACGAGGAGAATAAGTTACCGAAAAAGAGGAAAGAAGTAAAAAATATAATTTCAAAAAAATAACTGATAATAATTAATTAACCAATGGTTTTAATTAGCAATTTGTCGCGAGCCCTGCTTGAATCAGGGAAGATGCATCGGTCCGGATCGTTGCGCCTGCATCTACGGTTACACCGGAAGACGTTGCGAAACCGATTACAGGTAAGATAACGAACATATATCGCCGTGTCGCCGAGTTACATACTTCAACGATTACATATTCTAGAACCGGACCGTGTTTCACCAAAGTAAAGAATGGTCAATGCTTGGCGAGTCTTCAAGGGGTGGTTTGCACGCGACAGTTGTGCTGCGCCACCGTAGGCAAGGGCTGGGGTCATCCCTGCGAGAGATGTCCGGCCAGACTGGATTGCGAATTGGGTTACTTGAAAACCAGCCAAGGTCAATGTGTCGGTATGTGCTCTAATTTTACAGTCGAATCTCGATAACTCGAACCTCTATAACTCAAAAACCAACTAAAAAAACTTCGAATTTTTTACTCTAAAAACCATTATAAATTATAAACTCTTGTACAAAGTTTTCGTAATTTTCATATGTTAACTCTCTTTTACTCGAATTTCAATAAGACGAAACCTTTATAACTTGAAGATTTTTATAGCTGGTCTCTCGAGATTTTAGTTATCGAGATTCGACTGTAACTTTTAATTTACTTGTTTTTATATGTTGTAACATCAAATATCACTTAATCAATGAAACGTGCATGTAATTTAACTCGAAAGTTTTACAGTTACCAGAACAAATCATGATTATATCTGATTATAAATTACTTTTTAATTATATATTAATTACACATTAAATATGTATAAAACATATCATTAAATCATAAATTATATTCTGTATTGAAATAAATACAACGTTTATTATGAAAGAATTTCTTACAATGTCTTCAGATATCGACGAGTGCGATGCAATTCCTGGACTTTGCCAGGGTGGAAAGTGCCTGAACAGTCCCGGCTCATTTACCTGCGAGTGCCCTGAGGGACAAGCGAGAGATCCCGAGACCAATGAGTGCAAGGACAGAGACGAGTGCCAGGAAGAAGGCATCTGTGCGGACGGCCGATGCATAAACACGATCGGCGGTTATTACTGCCACTGCAATCCGGGATTCATACAGAGCCAGGATCGCAAATTCTGCATCGGTGACTAATATAATTAATACTTATCACGAGAATCAATATTACGATTAAATGTTGTATAATAAAAATTTCGCTAAAATTTTACATTATCACTAATGTTATCTTTTATTCTTTTTTATCTTGAACTCTTTCCACGTTTTCTTACCAATTTCTTAATTTTCTTTTATTAATGACATAACTATCGTTCGTCAGATGGCAGACAAGGATTGTGTTACACGGCGGTGAACCGTAACGGACAGTGCAGGAATCGGCTTGCGATGCGATTGAGTAAAAAGGATTGTTGCTGTGGCAAGAATATGGGTCGAGGATGGGGAGATGAGTGCTACATCTGTCCTAATCCTGGCAGTGGTATGTACACATTTTCAGAAAGAAATAAAATTCGCGAAATTCGAGTTCGCAGTATAACTTGATACTTTATACATTGAGAGCAAGAATGATTGCAATTATTAAAATCTTTTTTTTATACCAACTATACATTATATTATAGTTATAATGTTTTAAATATACAAATTATATCTGCTTCAACGGCATTTTGATTATCACATGATATGCATTCATGTTATCATATCGTGAAAACAATTTCTTTATTTTTTTTCTTTTATACATTTTTTAGTTAATTTTTATCATGTAAGTAATAAGCTAACGTTAAAATTAGTTATAATTTGCAATAGTATTTCTTGCATAAAAATGCTTGTTTTATTTACCATTCATATTTAATATTTTACTATATTAATACGTATTTTAAATTGTCATAATTTATAATACAATTTTTTTTATAATTGATAGAACCATAAATATAAAGTTATTAATAACATTATAGCATTACTAATTATAAAAATGAAACTTTTAACCTTTTAATAATTCTAATAATTATTTTACCATTCAAATAATTACAAACATGTAAAAAACACTTTTCTCTCAGTGTCCATTTTCATAATTTTTAAAAGTATTTGCATGATTTAAATTAATTTAATCGTACTGTATTCAAATTGATTTTATACCGATTGGCGGAATTTCGAAGACAGCCTATTTTCGACTCGTTCGACCCGTCCGACGAGTAACTCTGAGCGAGTTACGCGAAAAAAATCTCTTCGTTGAAGCGACACACCGAAACAAAACCAAAGACAGCTATATAGATCCGCGCGTGATTCACGAAAAATAAAAGTCTAGATAAAAGCGAGCGACTACGGCGACTGGCAATTCTACAGGATCCACGTTATTACTCAATTGTAGACGATTACAACAGGCTTTGCTCGCAACTGCAGTCGATCACCGAGGTGAACGAGTGCGCGCTACGGCCGGACATCTGCGGCGACGGGAAGTGCATCGACACCAAGGAGGGTTACGAGTGCGAGTGCTATCCGGGCTTCACGAGGAAGCCCGGCGGTAGATGCGAGGACGTGGACGAGTGTCAGCTGGATTACTGCCAGGGCGGAATCTGTCGCAACTACCCCGGCAGCTTCGCCTGCGACTGCCCGCCCGGCTTCGTCGTTTCCGGCGAGGGCAGATACTGCACCGGTAAAACCATTACTCGAATCCCTTCTCAACCGTACGGTATATTAATATAATGATAAAATCGGCAACACATGTTGTGATAGATATGATGATAATAATTATGACGACAATATTATAATTGCAATAGCAGGTAGTGAAAAAATGTGTTAGTAGAGAATTTTTTTAAATATTGATAGTAAAAAATTATCAGTAATAGTGTATTGACTGACGGATAAATATCTTTTTAGATCATGACGAATGCCAAGACACAGGCATGTGCACCAACGGACATTGCATTAACATGAACGGATCCTTCAAGTGCAAATGCAACGATGGCTATACACTGTCGCCGACGAGAAATACCTGCATAGGTAAGAAACATAAAGAATATGAAATATTACGTTCGTATCGCTAGAGATGTAAAAAAAAACGTTTTTTTTCCTAATAGAAAAAACCATTAGAAAAAAAACGTGTTTTATTTCATTGAAAAAATACAAATTTAGTTTTTTTTTTCTAATTTCGATAGCACGACTAATTAATTGTAAATAGTACGTATTTATATAATTATATAATTAATTTTAATGTGATCTACATTTAACTTTTACAAAGGAGAATTTTAATTCTTTTAATTTTAATTCTTTTTCTAAACAGCTTTTCCTTAAGTAGAATTTATTATAATTATTCAAACTGACATATTTTGAAGTCCTTGCTTCAAAATATGTCAGAATCAATATATTCATAAAACAAAATACTAGGCTATTACTCACAGTTACACATAGCTACAAATTTGAATTATAAAGGTAGCGACAATTATGAAAGTTCGACTTATAGAGGTGAACTTCGACTTGTAGAGGTCTGGCTACTTTAAATTTGAGTTACAGAGGTAACTAAAAAAATATATTTAAATGCCTGACAAATAATTCGAGTTAAGATAGGTTTTATTTCGATTTATAGAGGTTTTTCGCAGCGGAGCGGAAGGAAATAAACAAAATTTTCGTCTTATAGAGATTTTCGAGTTATCAAAGTTCCACTGTATTATTATATACACATTCAACATTTAATGAATGTAATAAAAGTATTAATGATATCCATTGTATTTCACTATAAAAATCCTAGTGTGCTTTTAAAATTTAACTGTTATTTAGTGGCATACATACACATTATTAAATTCACTTTCCTTTGTACATCATTTATATCAATAATTTTTCTTTTTTAAGTTGATATGATTGATTACTTCACTCAGAAGCTTTAACATCGGTATTAGAATAAATTAAAACCGCTTCGTGTAAACGAGTCTACATTTCAAGGAGTTAAAAAGAAGTTACGAATGTTACTAAACCGGATTATCGTTGCTATGTAAACCTAGTCTGCGATGAAGAAAAAGAAGATACTTCTGAGGTGGCTCAAGAAATAGCTGCGCAACAACTCGTCCGAACTTTCTTCTTTTTTCAGACATCAACGAGTGTGTGGAGAATCCAAGAATTTGCCTGAACGGCCGTTGCGAGAATACGCCAGGGTCCTACCATTGCATCTGCCAATCGGGCTTCACTCCTTCGAGGGACAATACGTTCTGCGTGGACATGGACGAATGCTCCACCAGTGGGATGTGCGAAAACGGCAAATGCGTCAACATGGAGGGCTCCTTCAAGTGCGTGTGCGACTCCGGCTTCAGAATCGGCCCCGACCTAAGTCACTGCATCGGTATTGAGCTTATTGAGTGACTGACGATTTCGACAATAGCGAGAATAAAGCATTAAATCTTTGCAATTTCAAATAATCTAGATTTTTAATGCTTCAGTTTAACAAAAAATTTTAATGTTGCGAGATTTTTTAACAACAATAAATTGATATTTCACTTTCTCCAAAGATTTGAAGATAGAATTAAACGAACGCGAGAAAGAAGTAATTATTTATGATCGTTTATTATTATTTATTCTGTAAGATATCGACGAATGTGCGAATTTGCCATGTCAAAATGGACGTTGCATCAACACACCTGGTAGTTTTCGGTGTGAGTGCCATCCGGGATTCAATCTGGGTCCTGACGGAAGATCCTGTCTAGGTTCGTACGAGTTTATATATTCTGCTCTTAATATGTTGTATGCAAAATAAAAAATATATTATTAGGTAAACTATGAAACACTCTTTAAGTCAACAATTTTTCTTAATAACAAAACGTTCGCTAGATTAAAATCTGTTCTGCTTATTACTTTTTCTAAATCTTTCAACTTGATTGTTCTTTAGATAAAATAGAAACTAGAGGGAATAGAGGCTATAATGAATAAACACAAGAGATGTTGTAATATACATCAATCATATAATTTAATTCATTAATTTTGACTTCCTACTTTATTAAGTTTGCTTTAGCTGCAAATGCAAAATTTAAAGTGTAACATTACTTTAATCAAAAAACACATGACGTTTCTTACAAGGTGTGAATTTATAGTGTCTAATATACATATTTAAATTAAGATTGTTGTTTGAAGTTATTGTTATTCACTTTTTCTTTAACAACCTTTTGCCAGTTTGGTTCAATTAAATCAATGGGTCAGAGACAATCTGGACATGTAGATTCGACCACAAAGAGATCTTCTCTGGCCAACATCTTTTTGACAAATAATAGTAGATTGAATACAATTGTTAGTATTGATCATTTTTGACGGATCGATTTGTTTGGGATCTTACATTGTTCTGAATTTTAGTTATTTTCTGCATGTCTATCAAGGATATCAAAATAATATTAAATTTAAACACAGATACTGAGCTGTTGGACAGTTTAGTATCGGTGTTTAAACTTAATCCGTTTTCTGTACTTATATGTGTATTCCTATATAAGTCTTTTGAAATAATCAGATTTAATATCGAGTATTATGCTGTTTTCCAAATTAAAAGAATGATTTAACTTCGACGTATGTTCACTTTTATTCTAATTTTTAAAAAATGCATCAGAAATGGTAAAATCAGGGATAAATGATTTCGAATATAGGTATATAGCGAGTTATGACAACGTTGGCATAAGACCACAAATCGATCTATTGAAATTGATCGATACTATCAATTGTAGTTGATCTATTATTTTTTGTCGAAAAGTCATTGATTAGAAATCTCATCAATTGTCACAAAGACGTTAACCAGAGAAAATCTCTTAGTGATGGAATTTACCTCCAAATTGTATATAACCTGTCGATGTAATTGAACCAAGTTACCAAAAGTTTAAAAAAAAATAAATAAATAACAGTGACTTTTCAGACAGCGATCTTAATCGAAATATTAAACACTATGAAGAATTGGTATGAAACGTCACGTGTTTTTCAATTATTCCAAGAGTAGTGAAATGTGTTATTGAATTTTACATTTGCGACTAAAACAGATTTACAAATAGTAAAATCGAAATGTCCTACTTTAATTATTATCAAATTAAAAATTATATGAGTACATTTCATCTCTTTGTTCGTTTTATTGGCCTCTATTCCCTCTATAGTTTCTATTTTATTTCGAAATACAAGCCAATATTTTGCAATTTTGCTTTAAATTTATGCTGATCTCAAAATGCATTTTTGTACTCGTTCTTTAGATAATTTTATGATTAAGTTTTGCATTATAATGTAAGACAAGATTGACATTAATTTTATTAAGAAATGACAAAGCTACTACTTCACTCATAGAGAACCTCTTCTATCTCATGCGACTAATTTAATCAGATAATTTTACATTTTGTTTAACAAAAAATATTTCTATTGGATGACTCTGCGCTGGTCAGATACGAGAAGAGATCTGTGCTATTCGCAGTACAGAGACGGCCAATGCTCCAATCCGACGTCCACAGCCGTAACGAAGTCGAGTTGTTGCTGCTGCACGGTGATCCTGGGCCAGCCGATGGGCTGGGGCAGCACCTGCCAACCCTGCCCGCTTCCAAACACCTCGGAGTTCGAAGCTTTATGTCCACACGGTGCTGGAATGACTTATAATGGCGACGGTAAAAACATCATAATGAAAATTTTATTTAAAAATCTGATATTCTCAAACTTGCAAAAACATCAGTTTCTACTATATATTTATAAAGTATTGTAGAAATATCCAAATCAAGATTTTTTTACATCAAATCTAATCGAATTGAACTTTACTCCTTGTTCAAATCCGATCGAACTAAAATTTTACTCAAATCGAATCGAATCGTTCAAACATAATTTTTGACAACATAATTATTGTTTGGTTAAATTTTAATGTATAGGTAATAAAAAAGAATTTTATTTGTTTTATTTATTATTGGCAAATATAATTTTACAAGATTTTGCCAATATACATATGTGATTCGCGTATTCGAATCTCTTAGATTTAAAATTTTCGAACGGTTCAGACACTATTCAGAGTCATAAAAAATTGAATTAAACCTCTCTGATCTAGAAATTCTAATCTAAAAAATCTAAAATCTACAGATACTCATGAATCTTTTAAATGTTAATATGCTACAATTTATAATTCAAGATTTGCCCAGTTTATTTCCAATTCAATGAATAATTTCAATGGTGGAATTTTATGGTTGCCATTGTAGATATCAATGAGTGCGCTCAGAATCCCAATATTTGCGTCAACGGTGCATGTGAGAATCTCATGGGGACATACAGATGTATTTGCGACAATGGGTACGAAGTGGATGCAACAGGCAAGATATGCAGTGACATAAATGAGTGTGAACTGGAGGATTCCTTGTGTAGCGGCGGACAGTGTCGAAATACGCCCGGTAGTTTTCAAGTAAGCAAATTATTTATTTATTTTTTATTAAGTGAAAGAGAGAAAGAAAGAGGGATTTGACATTTAAGGCTCCAAGAAGGTAAAGAAATTAACTCTATGAAATAAAAAGTAGAGGAAATCGACATTGTGAAATTATTAGAAATGTGCAAAAGCTTTTGTCCTTTTTAACGTTTTTCTTTTATTTAGTAAGTACTAAAATCAATTTTCAAAATACTTCCTTTATTCATAACTTTCTACTATCTTTCTTCCAAATTTCCATGTGTAGCAAATTTAGAATATGTGCAGGATTTTAAAACATTTCCTTTTTTATAGACCAGATGTTTACACAGTAATAATACATAAGTACCTAATAATTACGTATTTTGGTACTAAAATCAAAAGATTTACAAAAATAAAGTTAATCAATTTAGTTTCTGTGTGCGTAAAATTTATATTAATTGTCGATCTTTACACTTTATTGTATTTACAATTTCTTTTTTTCTGTGACTGTGTGTTATGACATTATTCCACGTTTTCAATTGATTTTATTTGGAGCATAAATGTCGTGAACTATCGACAGCGTGATTTTACTCGCAGTGCATCTGTCCGACGGGTATGAGGTACAACACGCAGAATCAAATGTGCGAGGACGTGGACGAGTGCGAGGAGTTAGGACCGGACGTGTGCTTTAATGGCGTGTGCATCAACACCCTGGGGGCTTACGAGTGCGAGTGTTCCCCGGGATACGTTCTCGACAATACCGGTCACATTTGCATGGGTAAACGGAAAATTTTTTAAATATATAATGATGGGACGACTCCCGCGCGTTGCGAGTGTTAAGTAAAATAAATATAAATATAGACGGGATTTCGGTCTTTCGATTCCAGACAATCGGAGGGGCTCCTGCTGGACCAAGATGATAGACGGTCGCTGCGAGTACAACCTGCCGAAATTGACCCTGCGCTCGGAGTGCTGCTGCTCGGTCGGGGTGGCCTGGGGCAGCCCCTGCGAGGTCTGCGATCACTCCTTCTGCGAGTGCTCGAAGGGCTACGCGAAGGTGGACGGCAAGGGCTGCGCGGACATCAACGAGTGCGAGCTCAACAGCGGGATTTGCAAGGGCGGCACCTGCGTCAACACAGACGGCTCGTACCGTTGCGACTGTCCCCCTGGCCTCACTTTAGACACGACGCGTAAGCCAATAGTTTCAAATTATCGCAAACTGCTAGGTTTCTCACTAGAAAAAAAAAAAGATTGTAGAAAATATGGAGCAGTTGCGAAAGATTATAATTAAAAATCGTATCAAAAATTATAAAAGATATAACTCAATAATGTATGACTCTTCGACTTAAAACATTAGTAGTTAGAAAAGGCAATCAGAGTCAAAACGCGGTAATTGGTGCGTGGTTATATCATTGCACAGATGACAGATCTTTTAATCAGATAATTAGAAACGATGCTCACACGTTACGGAACTGCTATCTACTGTCACTGCGGAATCGTATACAGAACGAGCGAAGGTGAATAACTAATTGCGTTTTTTAATGTAAGAGTTTTGTATCGCTGAGAAAGACCTGAAAAGGGCAGAAACGTACGTGTTATCAATGTGTTGAATTTTATTTTCGAGTAATTAAATTAACCACGCACCAATTACCGCGTTTTGACTTTGATTGCCTTTTCTAATTACTAATGGTTTCTAAAAGATATTTCTTATAAAATGAAAAATGAAAATTATTAATAACTGAAAATTTTTCCTGCCTCAAATTACTTGTAAATCTCTTGAGAATAGACTCGTGGATCAATTTTAAAACATCCCTCATATTTTCTTCTCAATATCCCGATTGCAGACACCACCTGTATCGATACCAGGCAAGAATTGTGCTACTTGGACCATCGTCACGGTCAATGCACCAGTCCCATAGAGGGTCATTTCTCCAAGAGCCTCTGCTGCTGTTCCGTAGGCCGCGGCTGGGGCAGCGACAAATGCGAGCTGTGTCCTAAAATAGGCACGCAGGCTCACGCCGAATTGTGCCCCCGTGGAGACGGCTTCACTGAACGTCAGGATATCAATGAGTGCGTCGAATTCCCGGGCATGTGTTTGAACGGTAGATGCAAAAACACGATCGGCAGCTACAGTTGCAAGTGCAATCAGGGCTTTGCGCTCGACGAGCATGGTATAAAGTGCAACGGTGGGTAATTTCTCCTCGAGGAACCTCTGAAAGATCAGGATTTGAAAAAATCCTGGATCCTAAACGATGACTCTCTATGGAATCTTGAGCTGTTAAAGCATAAAAAATTTATTTCTTTTGTTGACCTTGCACTGAATTTACTTTTCAAACTACCCTAAAAAAATATTAACAATTATTTATATAATACAAAGTTATAGATAATAAAGATTTTAGATGTTTCAGAGTTACGCAATGCGCGTCTTTTCATAGTGATAATTAAATTCCTTAATCAATTTTTAAAATCAATTTTTTTTGTCATCAAAATAGCATTTGGCAAAAAATTCTGTATGAACAGATAAATCAGTTGATCGACTTGAATTATTTTCAGACATCGACGAGTGCGAGATTACGCGTGAGGTGTGCGGTAATGGCACATGCAGGAACACGCCCGGCAATTTCCAATGCGACTGCAATCCTGGCTATCGCAGCCATGACATTATGAAGATTTGCATGGGTATAGCGTAAAACATTTAATTAAAATTTTGTATTTCAATTAAATTAATTTAATTTAAAGATATCTAATATCAAATTTTTTGTAAATTTATCTGAAGATATAATTCTCTGGGAAATGCGAAATATTTCAGACGTAAACGAGTGCGAAGAGACGCCGGGATTGTGTCGCGGTGGCACCTGCATCAACACCGAAGGGAGCTTCAACTGCTTGTGCCCCCCAGGACACGAGCTGGGACCCGACAAGCAGTCTTGCAAGGACATCGACGAGTGCTCAAGAACCAGCGGTATATGCTCGAATGGCGTCTGCGAGAACATGATGGGCACCTATCAATGCATATGCGACGATGGCTATCAACAGACGGGGCTTAGATCTCATTGCGAGGACATCAATGAATGCGCGGTTGGCAATGGCGGCTGCGAAGACATTTGTTTGAACACGCCGGGCAGCTTCTCCTGTTCTTGCCGGTGAAGGATCATTATTTTTTTTCAGTGCATGGATAATAAAATCTCTCAGGATTGTTATTTGTGAATATTTAAACGTTGCTCAATCTCTGAAGTACTTTTGCCGTATTTCACAAAGATTCATTATCAATACACTGGCTGCGTTCCATTTCACGCATGACGCGTATGATTTATCCTTTAATCCTTAGCTTTGTTTAACATTTAGTGAACAACAAGGACACCATGATACATCATACGCGTCATGCGTGAAACAAAACGCAGCCATTACAGCTAATTAGAAATGTGAGAATCAAGGTTCCTTGATATCGATTTGACTCGAATCGAATTTTATTTCTTTATTTAAATCCGAATCGAACTCCGATTCAAATCCAATTAAATCTAATCGAATTGTTGAAACATAACTTTTAATTAACGGCATAATTATTGTTAGGGTGAATTTTAAGATATTGGTAATAATAAGAATTCTATATAAAAAAAATAATATTGATTATATGATTGTTTTACTTATTAGCGGGAAATATGATTTCATAATATTGTCAATATTTGATTTATATTCAAATTTCTTATTGTTAAACTTGAATTATTTTAAGTAGTTCGGACCAATATTCGAATCGTATAAATTCAAATTCAAGTCGAATCGATTGTGATTACCTAATTTGATTCGATTTGAATTTGTATTTTTAATTTAATTTGATTCGATTTATATTCGCACATCTCTACAGTTAATCCAGCTTTTATAATATTAAACACAATTGAAATCTTAAAGAGATTATATGTATAATAATTTATTATTCGCGAGGACAGCACTGGCCACGCTTTGAACCTGGACGGTCGAACTTGCGCGGACGTTGACGAGTGCAAGGAGAACCCTCGCATTTGCAACGGAGGTAAATGCCAGAACACACAGGGTGGCTACATATGCAACTGCACGAACGGCTTGCTGCCCGGGAGGGACGGTATATCCTGCATAGGTAAACTTTTTGTCAAATTTATTTATTACTGCGCTAGTAATATATAATTGATGCCATCCGCTTTGCCGTCTACGCATTGTTGTCTCGTCAGACGTCGACGAGTGCGTGACGCAGCCGCGGGTCTGCGGATACGGCGAGTGCTACAACACGATCGGCTCCTTCAACTGCCGCTGCGAGGAGGGATACTCGGTGAAACCGGCCGAGGGACCGGCGTGCACCGACGACGACGAGTGCCGGCTGAACGCCTATTCCTGCAGCGAGTTCGCCGAGTGCCAGAACACCCAGGGCTCGTACGTGTGCACCTGTCACGAGGGCTTCACCGGGAACGGAATCGAGTGTTGGGACATCAACGAATGCTCCACGAACAACGGCGGCTGCGACTCCAATGCGCACTGCATCAACACCGAGGGTTCCTTTAAGGTATCTCTTCGAATGAATTCATGATGAATCCTTTGTCGAAGGACTCTTGACTGTTTCATGCAATCATAATTATTATGAATTTATATACCTATATATATATTATAATATTAATCAGTATTATTATATGTATCAAAATGTATATATGTATTTGCGCAAGTGTAAGCAGTAATATCTACAATTATCATGCTTTAATATTGATGTTTGATAGAGCTGTTTTAAGGATTTAAAGGAGTATTGCGAACGGAAAAAATATTATGATTACTATTAATTGAGGGGATTAAAGATAAAAAAATTTTATAATTTTTAAAGATAGTGACAGAAAATGTATAAAAAGTTGCAAAAAAGTAATTTAGTAAAAGTTACAAGTAATTTAAAAACGTCAATTTTATTTGGTTTTGCTCGATTTAGCAAAAACCAAATAAGACTTTTTAAAAATTCAAACTGTATTCTGTTCAGGAATAGCAGCTCCGTTAATTAAACTTATAACGTAAATTAAAAAAAAACTTTTTTCTAACTTTTAAACTAATAAAAACATCAAAAGTTTCCGAAAAATTAAATTTTTTATTGCTATTTCTAAAAATAAATTTCAAATTTTAGAATTTTTTTGATACTGCCAAAAAATCTGATTATTTTTCAAAATTAAGAAAATGGAAAAGGAGGAAGAATTTTGACGAGATACCTTATAATTCTGTCGATTGATCTGCTACCGTCAAATTTTTTTTATATTCATTCGTTTCACTGAAAGGAGAATGTTAAAAAAGTCCCTATTTTGGCCCTCAAAGCACATCTGAATGGAGCTAGAAAAATCATTGTTTAGATTCTCAAAAGACAGGAAAAAATAGTTGTTTTTCCGGGAGGTGATGGAAACCTTGCTAGAATGGCTTAAATAACCATATTCGTGAATAATGTCATTTTTTACTATATTTAAGTCATTCTATAGTGATGTTCCCATCACTTCCGTATAAGACTTCCAGACAAACGACTATTTTTTCCTGACTTTTGAGGACCTGAACAATGATTTTTCAAGTTCCATTCAGGTGTGCTTTGAGGACAAAAATCGGGACTTTTTTAACACCCTCCTTTGTAGTGCGTGTGCGACGCTGGCTTTCGAGGCGACGGCTACAGCTGCAAGGACATCGACGAGTGCGCGGAGGACAGTACGCTCTGCGAAAATGGGCACTGCTTGAACTACCCCGGTGCTTATCGCTGCGAGTGCGAGATGGGCTTCATGCACCCGGACGAGCGCAACGAGCAGGCTTGCGTGGACATCAACGAGTGCGAGATGTTCAGCAACCTCTGCGTCTTCGGTCATTGCGAGAACATCTTCGGTATGTTCCGCTGCGAGTGCAACGAGGGCTACAAGCTCGACGGATCCGGCGGCAACTGCACCGACGTGGACGAATGCGAGAGCCCGCAGTCCTGTCAATACGGCACCTGCATCAACACGCAGGGCAAGTACATCTGCAGGTGTCCACCGCATCACGAATTGGTGGAAGCCGGGAATGCCTGCGTCGGTAGGTTTTTTCATTCGTTAATTATACCCTCACACAGCAATATTTCCAAAATATTTCATGCAAGATTTGAAATATTTGAAAATTTTTCATGAAATATTTCTAAAATATAAATATATCTAGGAAATCAAAGTTTTTCGAAATATTTCTTGAAATGTTTCAATAGAAATATTTCTTACAACATTTATACTGTATTTCTATTAACATTTTTGTGAGAAATATTTTAATGTAATAATTAAAAATGTTTTAAAAATGTTTACCAAACATTTCTGAAACATTTAATTCAAATATTTCAAAAAATGTTTTACAAAATAATATTTCATGCTGTGTGGGACACTTCGAATATCTATAATCCTTGTTATTCTCATTTTCTTACATTTGCGTCACGCAGATAGACGCGAATCACTTTGTTTCACGGGCTACGAACATGGTACCGGACGACCCCAGTGCATCTTCGAGGTGGCGTCGTCAGTGACGAAGGCAACGTGTTGCTGCAGCATCGGCACCGCGTGGGGCAATCGTTGCGAGGAATGTCCGCAGATCGACACGAAAGAGTACGATCAATTGTGCCCCAGCGGACCAGGGTACAGGCCGAATCGCGTGACGGTCATTCTGGAAGACATCAATGAGTGTGAAGAGCACGAGAATATCTGCCAGAACGGGCACTGCACCAACACGTTCGGTAGTTTTATGTGTTCCTGCAACGAAGGCTTCATCCTGGACGGTTCTAAAACCAGTTGCATCGGTAATGAAAACATGTCATTAAAAACATTCTTTATTATTTCTTAAATTTATATAAAAAATGTAGTTCTTTTTTTGAAACAAAAAAAGTTTAAGTATAACCTTGGATTTTTTAAAACTTAATATCTTCAAGTATTTAAATTTTTCGAGTTATAAGTTCTCAGAGTATTGCAAATGTTCTTACGTGCTGAAATAGCAGATTGTTCAAATGACGCGAGAAAATTATATTACAGACATAAACGAGTGCGCGTTGCATCCACGAATATGCGGCGTAGGATATTGCATCAATGATCAAGGGAAATACCATTGCGAGTGCCCTGAAGGATACATGGCGATGCCCGGAGGAAGTAAGTATACCTAAATGTAAAAAATTGTTTAATTTTTTTTATTTCTAAATATATTTGCTTCATTAATCATCATTAAATCTAAATAGTTGAGATAACGCATGATATTATACAAGAGAAAAAAATTTGAATTCTAATATAAATATATAATTTGTATCAAAATTTTAATAAAAAGAATCGTAAGATGTAACTGTTACACGTCCTTTTAGAGGAGTGCGTGGACATGAGAAAGGAAGCCTGCTACCTCACTTACGATTCTGGACAGTGCCTTAATCCCATGGTGCAGCCACAAACAAAGATGCTGTGCTGCTGTTCCATGGGAGCCGCGTGGGGCAGTCTCTGCGAGAAATGTCCTGGCGAAAGGACCCGTGAGTATTCGAATGATCAAACCATTTCTACATGTACACGAAAAGAACAATTTTGCTAAATCCAGATCTGAAAATAATTTTTGTTCAAAATAATCAAAATAATTTGGTGCAAAAGTCAAAATGATTACTAGAATATCAAAACAATAGTTTTATAGCAATGCTTATCAATTTGAACATTCCAATAAATTATTTTGATGATTCAACAAAAAATTATTTTCAGATCCATATTTAGCAAAATTTTTAGAATCTTTAGAATTTTTAGAATTTTTTAGATCTTTCAATAAAATCGTTCTTTCCGTGTACCGAATGGAATTAACGATATTAATCATTTGCTGTCTTCTGCAGGCGAACACGAGATTCTCTGCGGACTGGTGCCAGGCCAGATCATGAACCCGATCACAAATCACTCCGAGGAGATTGACGAGTGCGCCCTGATGCCGACGATGTGCACTCACGGCCGTTGCATGAATACGCCCGGCAGTTTTGAGTGTCAGTGCGACCGCGGTTTCATTTATGACCAGGACTCGCACCAGTGCATTGACGAGAACGAGTGTCAACAGGTGCGATATTTGATGTTTTAACTGAAAGATTTCTACTCGTTTCTTTAAATCCAAAAAAGCTGAATTATTGTAATATGTAGATCTCTTAACTAAATAACAATAATTTAAGCTTTATGAAATAAAATGTAGGGGAAGTCAAAAAAATTATAATTATGTAGTCTGGTACTAAGATTTACCAAGTGTAGAGTTGATCACTTAAGTTTCTAAGAGGCTCATATAATAGCTACACTGAGAAAAAAACTGATTGTACGAACTAAATTTGTGTAGTTGTTTGATCCAATGGTTGATTCAACAATTTTTTAGTTGCACAAAAGAGGGTATAATTAACTCATGTCAACTAGCATAATTTTTTAAGCAAGAATTAACTAAACCAACTCAAGTAAATTATTTTGTTCGAAATTCTAGTGGTATTTATTTGTGTTTGCATACTATTTAGTTATCAAAGTAATATATTCGTTCAAATGCCAAATGTCAAACTGACTAAACGACGCTGATGGAGATAATAAATAGTGTGTATTTCTAATCGAACGGTTGAGTTAAATACGATAAATTTTTGTTGAAACAAAATAGTTTAGTTAAAAAATAGGATTTTGTTTATTATAGTAACAAATTATTTTTTGTCATTGTAGTAACGTTTAGTTGAACGTATCGGACTAAATATTTTGGTAAGATGAAACAAATTTTGCGTTTTTCAACCATTTTTTTTCTCAGTGTATCATGAATCATGATAGATCCTGGACTCATTAATATTTGTGTCGTCAATAATGTTTTTTTTTTTTTACGGTCTTAGATACCGAATCCCTGCAGCGGGAACGCACAGTGCATTAACAAACAGGGCTACTTCGTGTGCGAGTGTCCGGCTGGCTACAAGCTTGGACCGAGCCAGCACGATTGCGTCGACATCGACGAATGTTACGAGCGATCGGGCATCTGCAGCAACGGCGCGTGCAGTAATTTGCAAGGCGGTTTCCAGTGCATCTGCCACTCCGGGTTCTCGTTGACTCGCGACAGAGACAATTGCGTCGACATCGACGAATGCCAGCGCAATCCGAACATATGCAATAATGGCACTTGCATCAACACCTTGGGCTCCTACAAGTGTCAGTGCTACCAAGGATTCAAGCTCAGTCCGAATAACGACTGTGCGGGTCAGTAGCTGTGTACCTGGAGAGAGATACCTTATATATAGTTCTTCAATTGATAAACTATCTTTCGTGCATCTCGATACTTTAATAAACTGATTTTAGATATTAACGAATGTCGAATTATGCCGTTTTTGTGCCGCAACGGCCGATGTCGGAACACGATCGGCGGCTTCGTTTGCGAGTGCGCGGACGGTTACGTGTTGGCGCAAGACGGCCAGCACTGTCGCGACGTCGACGAGTGTCATGAGGTACGTCATATGCCCAGATCCTGGCACAGAATATTTCTCGAAAATTTCCAAAGAGGATGGCTGATAAATTTATAACATTTATATATACAGGGTGTCTCGTACTCAATGGTACAGCGCTCGTGGGAAGGTAGTGTGGACCAAACTGAACAAAAAAGTTCTCTACCATTTTGTAATCTTCGCAATAGTTATCGAGATACTAATCATTAAAAAAAATTTACGCAAAGTATATACAAGTGTATCGTACATTAGGTACATCTTATCTAAACCAAAAATATTATTTTAACAAATAAAAGTTGTCCAAAAACAAATATGAGATCATACAAATTGCCAAGTATTTGATTAGATATAGAGAGTAGAGACAAAAATATTTTATTCCAAACCGGAAAAATATTTTTTTATTAAATTATTTAAATTATTTAAAATTATATGCAGCAAAAGTTTAATGCCATTGTCTTTCCAAATAACTTTAAGTTTCGTAAAACAGACTTAAAGTTATTAAAATGATCAATAGAATCATAGTGAAGCAAAAACTTGGCCATTATGTAAAATTTTTTCTTTTTTTAAAATGATTAGTATCTCGATAACTATTGCGAAGATCGCAAAATGGTAGAGGACTTTTTTGTTCAGTTTGGTCCACACTACCTGCCCACAAGCGCTGTACCATTGAGTACGAGACACCCTGTATATTAACAGCCTTAATTCAAATAAGCCATAAATTTATAAATAATTACTAATACATATTGATATTATTTATAAAAGCTTTTATTTTGCAGATACCGGGATTATGCCCATCTCCAGGGAAATGTCAGAATTTAATGGGATCATACATATGTACCTGTCCGCTAGGATATGAATTGGACCATTCCAGAAAAAAATGCGTTGGTCCGTAGAAATATACATTAAATTACATTGATTATTCGTCGCGTCTTTAAATATTCTCTAAACGACATTAATTAAACATGATTTACACTTGCATATAGACGTGGACGAGTGCGTGGAGACGAGAGACATTTGCGAGAACGGACGATGCATCAATACGGAGGGTGGAGTGATTTGCGAGTGCCCAGTCGGGTATCAATTAAGTGATAGACCGAACTCGCTGAAGTGTATCGATGTCAGGGAGGAGCAATGCTACGATAATTATAGACGAGGCCAGTGCAGCTTCCCACGGGAGGGCGGCATGACCAAGAAGCACTGTTGCTGCACGATGGGCAAGGCTTGGGGCCGTTACTGCGAGCAGTGTCCGCCCGAGAATAGCGGTAAAAGATATTTCGCAAAAAATTAAGAAATTGTGGTTTTTAATTTTCTTCGTGGGACCATCATTTCGTGGATTATTGAAGTTCGCCATAGATAGGGCGACTTTAGTTGGTATTGCAAGCAGAGAACCACATCTGCGTGTAGTTCCTTGAGCCAAATTTTCCGATTTGGCAGTGACGAGTAATCGCTAATACAAGTCGCTCCAAGTTCTTTGATTGTTCTCGCCATTCAAGTATTTAACTCTTAGAGACAGAAATTAATTTACTTTTCAAATTGTTGCCATTTTTAAAAAGATTTAAATCAGAAGATTTAAGAAGAAAAATTATTACAATTGTTTTATTTATAAAAAATTAAGTAAAATTTTGTTTATCATATAAAAATTCTATTACGTGAAACAATTTTCAGTATCTCAAACAGTTTAAAAGATAGCAAAAGTTGTATTGTAAAAAAGTGTATGACATAAAATTAATAGCTCTCGACATCTGGAACAATCTAAGAGAGATATCAAAGAAAGAGCGTCATAATTATTAATTAATAATTTAAAAAGTTTACCTTATAATCACGTAATTTGAAAGGTAAGAAAATCATCAAGATCAAGCATATTCATTCCAGAGGAATTCAAGAGGATGTGCCCGGAAGGGCCGGGACGGGACGATACCGGGATCGATCTGAATGAATGTCTGTTTATGACGGATGCCTGTCACGGTGGCGAGTGCATCAACACGGACGGCTCCTTCCGGTGCGAGTGCCCGACCGGATACGTGCTGGACGAAACCGGGAGGCGATGCGTGGATAACAACGAGTGTCTGGCCGTGCAGAATATCTGCGGCAACGGCACTTGCCGCAACATCGACGGCGGTTTCGAGTGCTCCTGCAACGAGGGATACGCGCCCGGGGCTCATCAGGTGTGCGAGGACGTGAACGAGTGTCTGGAGCTGGGCAATCAATGCGCCTTCCGGTGCCACAACGCGCCGGGCTCCTTCCGGTGCATCTGCCCGTACGGGTACACTCTGGCGCCCGATGGCCGCCATTGCGTAGGTAATTAGAGGCTGTCTCTTCTCGATGCTTCGCTAAATTCTTTGCATTTCATAAAGCAAAACGGAGTTAAAATGACGTTAAAACGAAGCGATTGATTTTAATTTAAATTTTCATTAAGGGGGACGCCTGGTTTAGCACGCTGAAAAATTAGGTGATTTTTGTCATTTTTTTTTTTTAGGAAACCATACAGCCAATCCTTTCGAACTTTATAGTAATTTCTTATACTATTGAACTAACAAAAAAATATTTTTTTGCCAGAGAAAAAGTATTTATTATGCAAGTAATAATAACTTTTTATTCGGCGCGTCGGCGGGCGGCGTGCAACGAAGCGCCGCTTGTATTTGTCTGAAATAAAAAATCCGAAAAGATTATTGTTTATTAAAAGTTTACGCATTAACTGAACCTATTTTTAAAGAAAATAATACGAAATTATGAAAATCGCGCACTTGGAAAAAGAAGGTAGCGATTCTGATAAAAAATTTTTCGTGATTATTATGCAATAAAAATTATTTAATTAAATAATATTATTATAAACTGTGATTCAAGTTGTTAGAAAAGTATTTGTGCAAACGTGTGCAAAGGCCCAAGTCAATCGGATGAATGCCAAACACCGCCGAATAAATGTTATTATTACTCGCATAATAAATATTTTTTTCTGGCACAAAAATATTTTTTTGTTAGTTCAATAGTATAAGAAATCACCCTATAAAGTTCAAAAGGATTGGTTGAATAGTTTCTAAAATTGAATAGTTTCCTAAAAAAAATTTCAAAAATGTCACCTAATTTTTTAGCGTGCTAAACCAAGCTCCCCCCTTAATTTGAATTGACGCGACACACGGCTTTTCCATTACGAAGAAGGAGATCAAGGTCATATCTTCCATTTAGCGACACAAGTCGACATAAGCGTCATTCTGTCTTTTTTTCAACATCCAGTGACAACGAAGATAGAATGACGCTTGTGTCGACTTGTGTCGCTAAATAAAAGGCACCCTAATAAAAATTCCTTGTTTCCAGACGTTGACGAATGCGCGACGCCGGCGAACGACTGTAGGTTCCAATGCAAGAATCTGATCGGCACTTTCATGTGCATCTGTCCACCTGGCTACCAGAAGATAGGGATGGCGGACGAGTGTAAGGACATCAACGAGTGCGCCATCAACTCCGGCCTCTGCCAGCATGGCCGTTGCGTGAACTTGGAAGGGAGCTACCAGTGCCTCTGCTACGAGGGTTTCGTGCAAAGCGAGGACGGAAAATCGTGTATCGGTATGAAGCGCAAAAAATAAGACGCCATGTTAAATAATAAAAATAAAAATAAAAATATTAGATGCCACAAATGTCAAAATGCTGAAAAAAGAAAATATGATCGTACCTTTTACTGTGACCAGATCGAAGGATCGGCTATTGCTTCCTGCAAACGATCGGCGGCAGATGCACCGCTAGAACGTCGGAAGTGCGCACGGTTACGAAGGCGGACTGTTGCTGCACCATGGGAGCGGCCTGGGGGCCACACTGCGAAATATGTCCGTCCAGAGACTCTGAAAATTATAACGAGCTTTGTCTGGACAAAGGATTCTCCGTGGACGGGCAAGGTACATAATAATATACATATACCCCGCTAAGATAACATTTATAAAAATTCTATGACAAAACTTCCACATAAAATTTGCAATCTGCAATTATGAATATATTTATAAAAACAGATGTATAACAATGTTGATTTTTTATGAAATATTGATAACTGTTTGCGCAATTAAATTTGAAATAGTATTTTGACAAAACAATAATAACGATATGTGGCGAATTATTTTTAGTAGTATATTTAAAATAAAATAAAATTTGGAAAGAAATTATTTAATAATCGAAAAAAATATTTTATTATAGTTGTAATGAAGGAATCAAATTAATTCATTATTATGCTCATAAAAATACACTATTATTTTTACATTATAATGTAGAAATATTGCCACATAAAATATTATACATTCAACATGGCAACATTTTAAATAAAGGATACATATGAATTTTCCGGTAGTGTTTGTCGGATATTTAAAAATAATTGGATCACATATCTTGACTTTTTTTTTAATAAACTGTCATTATATCGTTTATTATATTTTTGAAAGAAAATATATTATGAAATATCTACATCTTAAATTCAATTTATCTAATTGTTAATAAATATTATTTAGAAATTTTATTCTGACAGATCTGCTGCACTATGGTGAATCATCTTGGTGGAATTATTGTGAAATTTTTGTCAATTCATAATGCCAGTATTGTGCAATCTTTCCACAATATTATCGGAGATTATTTATCTCGTTGTCTTGATTGTATCTAGGTTTCAATCGACAATGATTAAGATAAAAGTCTGTTTGATTTTCGCTCTGAAAATTAAATAAATAATGTAAATTTTCAGATATCGACGAGTGCAAAACCATACCCGATCTCTGCAGCAATGGCCTTTGCATCAACACACTCGGCTCTTACAGATGCATCTGCAATAAAGGTTACAAGGCCGACAAATCTGGCATTCGATGTATCGGTAAATTTCCTCAATTCGTTTAAGCTTAAACAAATATAATTACGCATGTAACGATAAATAATGAAATCGCAGATATTAACGAATGCGAATTAACGCCAATACCGTGCAAGTACAATTGTCAAAACACCGAGGGTAGCTTCATCTGCTCGTGCCCGTCGGGTTTCATCCTGAATCCCGACGGTATTAGCTGCAGAGATTTGGACGAATGCGCAACCGGAAATCATCTGTGCCAGCAAAATTGCATAAACACCCCGGGAAGTTATACATGCGATTGCCAGGAGGGCTACACCCAACAGGGAGATGCGTGCCATGGTTCAGTCTTTTTTAATTTGTTTCACTTTGCCATTAAAATAACAGTATAAAATCAATATAAATTAATGTGTACCTATATAAAAACTTTATATATATTATATATAATTAATGCTTTTCATTGTAAGATATCCTCCTAAATAATATTTTATAATTTCGCGCGTTTCTTATAATATAATTTTTTTCTAGACATAAACGAATGCGATCAACCGGACATCTGCCCGCGACCCGGCAAATGCATTAACACCTTGGGAAGCTTCCAGTGTATTTGCCCGAGAGGTTTCAAATTAGACCACAGCGGACGATTTTGTACGGATTTCAACGAATGCGCTGACGATGCTAATTGCGAACACGGTTGTCAGGTAACTACACTGATATGTATTACATGGATCGCTGATGTTTCAATTTACCACTCCATAAATTTCGTACTTGATTGAAAGTCCGCTATCCAGTCAGAAATTATTAGTCAAATCGACATTGAATCGGCGTTGAAATTTGAATTGATAAATAATCGATGTCGAATACTGATTGATATTTTCGTCATTTTTTACCTCATAATTGTTTTAAGGTATTAATTCAGCAGTTGCGAATATATAAGATTTTTATTGTCTTTCGGCCAATTCTATAACATTATAGAATCGACGCAAAGTCGGAAAATATATATAGTTATATACATATACTTGGTATTCGATGTCAATACACAGTATTGACTAAGATAATTTTAAGCTAAAAGAATCTACACACACACACACACACACACATTTATAATGTCAGTTAATATAAAAATTGTATGAAATCGAAGATGACGAAAATGTCAAACAATTTTCGATATTGATTATTCATCGACATCGAATTGAAATCGATTCGACTAATTAATTCTAATTGGATATTTTATAAGGAAAGTTTCTCAAAACATTTACACACACACACACACACACACACACACACACACACACACACACATACAAAATGTTATGCTATTAATGTCAAATTATTATTAACGCGCACACACGCGGCAACTTTTCTCATAAAATAACGATCTTCAATTGGGGAAGCTTCAACAATGCTCAGGGCATTATGTTTTTCTCCGAAAACTTTTTCTAAGATGGAAACGTAGATAGAAAGTAAAACATCGACGATACATTACTTAAAAGATCTTTAATAGTACCTTGTCGGTTTTACTTTTTCTTTTTCATATTTTTCACTTTAAAAGAAACTGTAGACCAAAGGTATAATGGAACCCATTTTGAATTATTCCATATTCAATTCTATTGTTATAATGCATGTTACAATACATATATCTAATATCCATCAATCACTATAGCTTATTTGTTCTCGCTTTTGAAAAAGATTTCCATATCCTTTGTCAAGCCTAGATATCTTTCACATGCTTGTAACATGCTGCGAAAGATTGTGCTGCACAATAAAAAATATTTTGCATTTGTGTTAGAAACGGTCCACTCAAGCGTAAAAGATATCTGTACTCTGCAATTTTTAGAATCTCATGGGAACGTTCCGCTGTGGCTGCCCAGACGGTTTCGTCCAACATGTTTATCACAGCCAGTGTATAGATGAAAATGAATGTAATACTTCACCCTGCGGCGATAATACTTGCATTAATACTATTGGCAGTTACAAATGTGGTTGCCCAGACGGATACCAATTCGACAATAATTTAGCGATTTGCGTACAGGTAAAGTGAACTTTCTACTTTCTTTGAATGCCTTTTCAAAACTATTTTTTTATTTTTTTCAACGACTTTTCTTATCCAAACAACATAGTTACGTTCAAAACGTTTAATAAATACTAAATATAATAATATATATAACAAACGTATAAACTGAAAAATAATCGTTTAAAATTTAATCCGTTTTTAAACTATATAATATGTAATATATAATATATAATAAACGTTATAAAAACGTTTTATAAGATATTTATAAAGTTTCATTACCTTTTTTTTACTAGTTTAAAATACCGTCAATAGCCTAAATATCGCTCGTAATTACAAAGACAAATATTAATAATAATTTAAGAAGCCGTAAACAAACAAGTTTTTATCAAGTTAGTTTATATCAAGATGTACAAATATCTATAAATGCGGTACCAGTTTCAAATTTTTTATGTAATCATGTAAGTATTAAATGTTTAGCGACTGATGAAGACTGCAGTCAAGGAAACTGATACCGCCTTTATAGATATTTGTATATCCCGATATAAATTATATACCCATGAAATTTACTCGTTTATGGCTCCTTCAATTATTATTAATATTTGTCTTTAAAATACCATTTTTATACAATTTAACGATTTAATAAACGTATATTTAACGTTAATAACGCCTATTTTTTTATATACCATAAAAATTTTTCGGTTAAACATTTTGCAAATAGTCTGTTTAGATACTAATTTAAATCAGTCTTCAAAACATATATATATATATATATATATATATATATATTTTTTTTTTTTATCTTTATAACTTACTTTCTAAAGGTAAGCGCTGGATGTCTTGGAAGTCCATGTGCCTTTGGATGTACTCCTAACGGAGGTCATGGGTTTATTTGTGGCTGCCCGACTGGTTATCAGCGAATAGGACAGGTCCGTTTTTTTTTGCTCCACACCTGTCATCCACACCTGATAGCGATAAGCTACAACAACGTATCTTTTAAATATCAAACACGATCTAATAAGATTATTTATTTGTCGAAAAATTTACTGCAGGGTCACTGCCTGTCTACCATCAATCCGTCGCATCAAGGACGCTACGACGAGGATATCGGGAACGTGCCGACTTTCCAAATCAATCCTGATCCTTATCACATACCGCCGGCTGATGACAAGACTATCTCCACGGAAGGCTGTTTCTCATGCAAGGTACGCATTTGCACTTCCTTTCTATCGCAATGCATAATGCGATAACACGGGTTTTTCGAATTAGGTAAATGGAAAGGAACGGCACAGAAGAGGCGCTAGAAACAAAACGGTGAGCAGAAAAATCAGGGCGAGGAGAGGCGAGATAAAGAAGAAACGTCGAAATGCCAGGCCGAAGAGGCATCATCACGGAACGGAGCACATACTCAAGATCAATCTGCGTCAGACGAGACACCGTACGCGGATTATCAAACTGCAATCTGCCATCGAGGTAATAATTTTCTGCACATATAACTTTGAAAGTCGATTTTAAGTTCTCTTAAGCTCTTAAGTTCTTTTAAGCTCCTGTTCTCTACTATCTCAAATTGTGACGTCAGAAGCAAGAAAATACGTATTAGAAATTGTTGCAAAATATATTTTAATAAAACAGCTTACAATTGATAGAATCGACTTGAAATAAAATACGAAAATTTTCTCTTTCTTCTTTTGTTTCATAAATTAATAAATAACCATACTTATGTCTGGAAATAAATTATGCATAACTAAAAACGAAATAAGCTATATTTTCAGCTATGATAACTATCAAATTAATAATATATAGAAACATAAGATTTAATTCGTCGCCAAAACAAAAAGATAGTTTCCAGTACATTTTATAAGTCTATCCTTTATCGATTACCTATACATATAAAATATTTTATAAGTCTATTTTATCGATAAATTTTTTATTGGAAAATATTTCTATTTAAATACATTTTGCAAGAATTTTATTATGTACTTTCTCGCTTCTGACGTCATAAGCTGAGCAATGATAAGTGAATTACCTTATAAATAAATCTCATCTTAAAAAATCCAACCTGAGACTTTGTCACGAATTTCATATAACTAGCTGTAATTGTGTTAACTCCTCGACCGAAAATGATTGGCAATTATTATTTTATAGGGCGAGGACGTGGATTACACAATCGCGCGGGGCAACAACGACGAACACTTTGAGATCATCAGGAAACACGGCGTTTCTGCCTTGCACTTCCGACACCGACTAAAAAATCCCGGCGAGTTTCGTTTAGTTATCCACGGTCGTCCGAGAAACGCGACGGGAACGAGTACGGAATGGGAAAAACCGCTGACTTTCACGATCCGTCTCGTAGTCACGGAGTAAAAGATCCCGTCGGAGGAAGGATCCCAAATAAATAATCGAATTGCGTGAGAAGATCACTGCCCGACACTGCGTAACGCTTTCTCTTAGTCAATTCTGCGTAATTATCTCGAGCTACGGCAAAGTATTAAAAGCACCAACGTACGTAAGAGAGGGACGCGAGTACCAGGATGACGCGTAGAAGCCAGTAATATAGAGAATCGGCAATAGAGAATTAGTCGTTCTCTCTTCGTCCGATAGTTTTCTCGGAAAATTTCAAACGGAGAGGCGACAGTTGTGCGAAGATATAGCGGAGCGCCTTGACCTTTTGTGTTCAATTGCATGCGGATTGCGTTATTTAACTGCCAGAATGATAAATATATACCCTTATTTTACAAAGCGATTTCTTCACGACTGCCCATCTCCTACGTCTTCGTTATTTCTACACTGCCAGACATATCCAATCGAGCACTCTGTAGGGGCGGTGCTCACGATTCGATGTTGTATTCAAAATCGTCCTAAATCCAGCTATGGGCAGTCTACGGATTCTGTCCAGCCAACCGAATGCCTGTACAGTGTCTGAGATTGTGTCTGAAATATGAGATTATGAATACCGATCTAACAATAAGACTCGATGCTTTATATTTAGCTACGATCCCGAGACGCTGTAAGCATTTCATTGGCTGGATAGAATCTCTGAATACCGCCCAGGTTTGAGATTGGTTTGAGATTTTGACAATTTTGTATATAATTTCGAACCATGGAAACCGCCCCTATAGAGCGTTAGATAGTCAACAATTTATGTATCGAAATAATCTTGATAAATATTCTATTCCTGTTAATTAATCGCCAATGTGTAATTAAAAATCAACAGACAGAAATTCGTAAATCAATAATTCGCTGTGTGCGTCGTCAAGAAACAAGTGTTCTCTCAATTTACTGCCTGTAATTGTTACGTAAATATAATACGATTAGATTAGAGGTAACACGCTAGAGATGTACAAACGCTAGATTACTATAGCTTTAAGCGACCGAACGCACGTGTACACATTATAAAAAAAAAAACAATATAGCTTTATATATTTATAAATCTTAGCTTGGAACGCACAAAACGCGGCACGAATGTAGTCTCATGTACAAAATCCAGTACACCTTGTGCTTAAACCTCAAAGAGAATTTCTTATTGTAGTACATATCATCGATATTACGGCCTCATTGATATACGTTATTACGTCATATAATACGTATACGTTATTACGTCGTGCCTATATCATAGTGTAAGAATTTTAATTATGTACAATATACTAAAGAACATGTCAGTATAATAAAGATGTGAATAGAGTTTATTTAAAGCGGCTTTCTCTCTTTTCTCTTTTTTTTTTCGCTGAAAAACAAGAGCTGCTATTTTTATGATAGGTGTAACGTCTTCTTTCATTTGCGAATATATCGGTATGCAAAAGTTTCGTTTTTAAAGATAATAATTTTTTTTATTAATATTTCTTAAACAAAAATATATTTTTAATACTTGCGACTCGCCAACGGTATAAGTATAGAATTGTTGGGCGAATTTTGACTACAGCCGACGGCAGTCTACAGAGCGAGACAGAGCCATCGCGTAAATCTCAATGTTACGATTCATTCTGAGTAGAAATTTGACCCGGTATGCCATTTTTATAAAAAATTAAAAATTATATTTTATAAAAAATATAAACATAAATATGTACATTTTTATATTTTGCAAGAAATTATATAATTTTTTGTTTATGTTCGGTGCACGGAAAAGTCCAAATAATTACCGAATTTGGCATATTCCACATTTATAGTATATTTAATATATGACTTTAATTTGAATATTAAAATCTTAATTTAAAATATTACATTAAATACATGATTTTTATATTAAAATTAAATTTATATAGCAAATTCGGTTATTATTAAAATACAGTGTTATATATAATAATTTAAAAAATTTATAATATTATTCTGAACTCATTACTACACCGCAAATCCAAGTGTGTAAAAAGTGCCTCAATATATGGATGTGTATGATTTTCCATGTAAATATAATGTACTACTAAATATATATTATAATATACTACTATATTGCACGTTTCATGGGCAATGTGTAAATTTCCATTTTTGTATGTAATATAGCGTTATTTTTACACGAAAAACTAAATCGCATACATTTATTGAGGTACTTATAACACACTTGGATTTGCAACATAATTACGCGTTTCGAAAATTTGGGCATGATGTATGATTCAGCCATATTTGCCATTATATATTGATATACATTATCAGGTCGAAATCTTCGAAACGCGTTACATCCCTTATCAGTGCTGAATTGAGATAGTCGAATCAAAACTAAATGTCAAATTCGGCATGCTTAATTTGGCCCTGATTTCTAACAAACCAAATTTCTACTCGGGCACCGACGGTATAATATATTAAACATTAATTTTATAAAAATGTGTGTGTGTGTGTGTGTGTGCGTGTGTGTGTGTGTGTGTGTGTGTCATTACGTAACACTGAATTTGCACTCGCGCAGCGCGAAAACCAAACGTGTAAATGACGAGGAAAGATGAAGACTCTCGTGAAAAGTCCCCTCGCGATGCCAATCGCGAAAACGATTAACGAATCACGAAATTTGAGCGCCAAACTTGTACGCGGGTTTTGTCAATTCGAACAGTAATTACGCAAAATTGCTCTCAAGAAGCAAGACAATATAACTTTGTAAAAGCTGGCTGCAGATCGACTCAACCTAACGAAAGATGGGCAGGGTCGAACCATGAGAAATCGCTCACAAAGCGTAGCCAGGACGGCGATGGATCGAAAGAATAAACATACATAAAAAAGGGATAAACGAACAAACGTGTTGTCTATCCATTATTGATTGGCATGGTTGACCACCTTCTAAGCAGTGTTGTATAAGTATTGGAATTTTGTCGGAACGTATTATTAGTGTTCTGCCGGGAGGTCATCAATTTTGAGCTATTAAAAATCCTATTGTCAAAAAAAACCATGTCAATCATCGTCATCTTACAAAGAAAAGGGAATAAAGCGATTTTCGTGTACCAAAGAGATGAGAGAGTGCAATCGTGTTAAGATATATTAGCTGCAGCGTCGAATTTCTTTCCTGCAATTTCCATCGCCATCAGCTGTCGCCTTTCTGTTTTCTGTTCACTTTTTGTAGTGCAGTCCTTCGTGCCGCATCCTCTACTTTCATGTTTATTCAGAATGCGTTCGGGCAGATGCTACAATATTAGCACTATCGCATCATTCTATCTTTTGTCGTTTGTTAGACGTAAAATAAGGATAAAATGTCGGAAACTGTACTGATAACGCGTGTACCGATACACACGTAGTGGCGAATCTATACATAGAAAAATACAGCAGTGACGTTTCAATTAGACATAATTCGACGATAACCGCAGGGCGAACTGACGGTTACGGCTATTCGCGCGGGATGATCAGACAGATAGCACGCACATTTTATTTGTGAATGTAGCACAGATGTGTATGTACACACATTTATAAAAATTTTCAATATAGAATACATATGAATTGCATAAATGCTAATGGAAAGGATCAATTCCATATTCAGAACACGCTTACTCTCAAAATTTGAATCAGTGGAAAAATCACTGATTGTATCAGTAACCCTTGTAGCATTTTCCGCTATTTTCTGCAAAGCATAATCTGCATGCAATTAATTGCAGCAGAATTCAACAATCTTCTGCAAGATTCATGCATTGTATATGCAAATAGACTATTTGCAGATATTTGCTACAGAAATCGAGCTATTTTGAAGCAGATTCTTTCCGTAACTGCAGTCTGTAAACAGTCGGTTAATAGCAGTCTGTCTCAGCAAACTGATATAAGATTCTTTCAGCAAAAATAATGTGCAATAATTCTGGCGAAAGAATGCTACAATTCTTGCAGCAGATTTTTGACATATTCTGTCAAGAGGACATTATGATCTGCTTCCTCAGATTTACAGCAGGTTTGCAACAAATTGCTACCAGGAAATATCTTGCATCCCTAATGAATAAGACAGCCAAATCCGCTGTGCAATTAGCGAAAATAGCAAAGTCCACTTTGATTTGTCAGCGAGTATAGCGATTATTCACTTATTATTTCTTAGTGATTTCCATATTAGTGAGAAACTAACTAATGAAGTTAAATTTCATTGCTTACTAGTGTCGTACTTGAGAATGATGCAATAAATAATCATTGATAAATCAGTGATTATCCACTGAGATTTAGCGCGCTAACAAGTCTAAAATTCTATAATATGATTTGTATTCTTACCTCACTTTTATCAATAAATGCGCTCGATCGTTTTTATTTCTGAGATTCTACAATATATGTAACGTGAATTATATGCTAAATTATTATACTATCATTATAAGCGCATTCTGAATATGGGCAAATATATGTCTAATGTTATTGCTTATACAATTAGACATTTATTATTATAGAAAGATATACGTGCATGCTACAAGCAGTGCTATTTTGACCAAAACGTAATTGTAAATACCATAACTAAAAGAGGATATTACGAAAAGGCCTGTTTTTGCTGCACTTGGGGAAAATAAAATAGACATCATTTCTTATAGTTTTTGAAACGAGAAATCCAATGGTGTCAGTTAGTTAGAATTACGACACATGACCGAAACATAAAAAAATTGAGCTTAAAATTAAGAAAACGCGTGTACGCGTCGCAATCATTCGCGAGACAGGTCGCTATGCTACATGTATTTATGGTACTCATCAGAAACTCATCGAACACGATTTCGTGCAAAGTACAAAAATATTTCGTGCACAAAAACATTTCGTTGCGTTTTTCGCTATTAGATATAGCATTTTTATAAGATATTATATAATTTTAATAACAAAACATGATGAGAGAATCACATTATGTATTTGCACTATAATATACTATCGGTATATATTATAATGTAGCAACGTCGCGAATAATTGCGATGCCACGCGTATTTTCCTAATTTAAACCTAAATTTTCTATGTGTTCCCGTCACATAACGTGATTTTAATTAGCACCATCGAATTCTCAAAAACCATGAGAAATGATATCTGTTTTACTTCTCCCGAGCACAGTGAAAACAGGCTTTTTTGTGTAACACTTTTTCCGGAATTTTTCGACATAAATTATACATATATATTATCAATTTAAAAATTTAAATTTTAATAAGCTTTTTTGCAAAATAAGCTTCAAAATAAGAAATATTTATAAAACTGTATCTTTTAATCAGTTTGGTAAATGGATTTTACGAAAAGTTTAATTCGTAGCTGTCCATTAAAAAATTTGCTACGTTAAATATTGAGAAACTGTATAAATGACAATATCTTTTTAAACTTTCCTCAAAATAGAGGAAAAGATTATTCAAAGAATAAACAGAGAAATTACCGAATGGGTGCATTAGTTATTTATTTATAATGCACCGTGCGATATTTTTCGCATAAAAGCGCTAAGCCACGCGAGCCTTTCGGTAACCCCTTCCCTCCCCCGCTACCTAGCGTTCGCGAAAACGCTCGTGCGGGGGGGGGGGGAGAAGGGGGTGCATTACCATCACGTCCCCGCGATCCCCGCAGCATTTATTCAGTTGCGCGTCACGGCCGCACGGCGGCGTCACTTTCACTTTTGGCCGCGTTGTCGGACCGGCCGGACACGAGAAAGGTTGGCTCCGGGTGAATAGCGTCTAGTCGCGATTCGAAATCTAAAAAATGGTAAAGTCCAAATTAACTCGTATTTATAACTAATCGCACTACTCAACTATCGCGTAACTATACAATCGATACATTTATATTAATTGAATCAATTCGTACGCGCGTATTTCGCACATATATATATTCGACTGAAAATGTATTGCGCGCGTAACCCGAATTATTTTCAGATCTCTGTCTATAATTTCATGTTGCACATTCTACTTACATTACATTACGACATAACAATGAACAGCGAACACGTATCTATTATTTGTTTCTCGAAATTAATTCGGAAATTGCGACGCAGAACGCGCTGCAACGCCGCGGCGTCGCTTTTGACGCGTCAAAGTTGGCTGCGTTTCGGAAACGAAAGCACTTGAGTGACGCCGTGACTCTTTCATTGATAATCGTATCAATCTGCCATCTAATTCGCGTAATATAGATTCGACGTTCGCATTCGGTCGGATGCGTGTTTCGTTAATACACTCGTTCGGCCGAAAATCAAGACTCGATAGCGTGAGCCACGCCAGCGCCGCCAACGCTTGTTCGCGTCAGCTGACCGAGCGCGCGTAACCGCGCGTGGGACGAATTGTGCCGCTTCGCCATTAATTACGCGTTTATTTATCTATAACGGCGTACGTATGCAGGAGGATAAACACATAATTAAGATGCTTTATACACTGTCAGCTTACGTGAAATCGTCGCGGTGACACGTCGGCGGAGGTGGCGGTGCGGGCGGTGCGCGGAGCGATGCGCGGCGCGGCGTTGGCGCGACGACACCACGCGTCTCGATTTTTGGCCGAACGAATATTGCGAAATACGCATTCGACAGAATCAGAGTGCCGAGTCTATGTTACAAGCAGTATAGTAGAATCGGCCTGCATGCATTGATGCTCGTTTCGAACGCGTATTTCGCAATACTCGTTCGGCCGAAAATCAAGTCATGAAACGTCGGTCGTAGCGCTGCCGCGCCGCTGCGTCGCCGCGACGCTATTACCGCGCGAAGTTAAAGAGGCCTGTTCTTTATAGCTGAACTGGCTGTACTAGTTCACAGTTTATCTTTCTTTTCTACATTTCGAAAAAGAAAGATGAACTCTGAACTAGTGCAGCTAGTTCAGCTATAAAGAACAGGCCTCTTTAACTTCGCGTAGGTATGTACCTACAGCTCACAGGCGCGTCATTTGATACGCGCGTCATAATTTATAACAATCTTTCTTTGTCGGAAACTGCAGTTATAATTTTTGGTCCTCAGATCCTCACTAACTTTATATTGAATACTGATGACAAATGCAATGATACTTTTGCAGTTGGATGAATTCAACTGTAAACGCGTCAAACGCGACAATGCTAGAAGTCATTAAACCCAGACAGAAATGATCGGTCGATAGACCTCGATTCGACGTTTCCAAACAATTGATTCGATGTCTATGGACCGATTGTTTGTGCCTTGTTAAACTAAATCTAGTTATTTCTCAAACGACGTGTGACGCGCCCGTCAAATGACGCGCCTATGAGTAAGTACACGGAAAGAATGATTTTGTTGAAAGGTCTAAAAATTTTGCTAAAAATAGATCTGAAAATAATTTTTTATTGAATCATCAAAATAATTTGTTAGAACTGATAAGCATTGCTATAAAACGTTTTGATATTCTAGCAATTATTTTGACTTTCGTACAAAATTATTTTGATTATTGAACAAAAGTTATTTATACAGATTTGGATTCAGCAAAATTGTTCTTTCCGTGTATATCTTTATCCGCGCAATAAAATAAAGCCGCTTCGCCATTTTAATAGCGTTCCCTTTATATTTTCAGAACGCGACGAAAATATGTAAGCTAGATCATCTCCGAGAAGCGTTGCGACTGATAAAATTGGTAAGCGACATATGTATAATAGAATTGACACGCAAGCACTTTCTGATGTTCGTCCGAACGCGTATTATAGGCCTGTTCTTTATAGCTGAACTGGCTGCACTAGTTCAGAGTTTATCTTTCTTCTTCCAACGTAGAAAGAGAAAGATAAACTGCGAACTAGTGCAGCCAGTTCAGCTATAAAGAACAGGCCTCATTTCACAATACTCGTTCGAATGAAAATCAAGATTTATACAGCGCCGACGTGTCGCTACCACTGTCTCGCCGCGGCGCTCATTTCGTGTAAAGTTAATTGCACGCGTGACAAAATGCGCCGCTTTACCTTTGCCATCTTAATTACATTAACGTTTTAATTGCAGAAAGCAGCAACACGGGATGAATCGGCTTCGAAACGAGTCGCGTCTCATTCCGGTAGGGCATCGAGAGAATCTTACGCATTCTACGCAGTTGGATAATCCGGAGTTTGAGAGGAGGATGAGGCCTAGGAGAGGCATCGAGCACCGGCGGAACAACTTTGGGGTGAATATAATTTTTTATAAAAATAAAATATAAATTAAGTTATATTAAATTAATAATTCTTTCCCACTTACCCGGACTGTTTTTTATCTCAGTGAACTATAATAATGAGAGAAATTAAATGAATCTATCTAAAATTTTTCAAAGCTTATTTATTTAAAGATTTTTTCTGAAAATATATAATTATATCATATACTGTAAATATTTTATTAAAAGATAAATAAAAAATTCAAAAAATGCGCGTAAGAATTATCTTCTGAAAAGTTGATTATTTTGAACACTATTTTTAACTTAAATCTTGTTTGTGTTTTACAGAAGCATCGCAGCTTCGTGGCAGATAATTCCGCCCGTTGCGCATCGGGTTGGTGAGTGAAAATTTTTTTAATAAGGTAACGAATCTGTGAAATTTGTATTAGACAATTAGATTTCCATATAAAGTTTGCATTAGATGTATATTTATGTGTATATTATAGTAATAGGACTGCAAATAGATACAATTTCTCACAGATCTGTTGCCATAAAAATTATATTTGTGCGTACTTGATAAATTTATTATTTTGATCTATAATCTTATCTCTGAAGACAAGCAATGGAAATTTGGCGTACTCATATTTTCTATTCCGTGTGTACTTAAGAATTTATTTGAAGTATAAAAAAATTTATTTTCAAAAACACAATCTTCGTATATTGCAAGATAAAAAGTTAAACATTGAAAAAATAAATTAAATAGAAAAATGTTTTAATCTTCGGAAAGTACTCCAAACTTGTACGTCATGTCGTGCATATAAATCCTTCCGGGATACAGCATGTAGGATGGAAAGTATTCACTATTAACATCATTAGGATAATTCTGGGGCGAAATAGCAAATCCGCTATGACGGCGATAGGGAACGCCTCCTTTGCCATAAACTTCCGTTGTATTTCTCTTTACAATTTCCTTTGCCTGTTCAAAAATGTAATATTTTCAATAATTCTTAAAAAATATATCTAAGCTTCTTATGTATCTAAAAAACATTAAATTTTAAAATATCTTCAATCTTTTATAGAATTGCATGATTTTTTCTTAAATCACGAAAATTTTCTTCTAAAAAATATATATAGTTGACAATATAACGAAACGCAAAGGATGACAAATCGTACGCATATAGGTACTTTTGTCACGAAAATTTACCATTTTTAATATTATCTTAATATTAGCATCTCTCGATGCTATACCAAGTTTAAACAAAATGATGCATATTAACACTGTGCTTAATAACTGCCATATTCAATCCCTCATTTTAAATTGTGTGACTTTTATTTCAGATTTTGAATTAGTAACATCAAAGATTTTTAAATAGTGAATTTTGAAATTAAAAGAATATTTGCATTTTATTTTTAAAGATGTCTCGACAGCTTTCTAAAGATTATCGACAAAAATACAATATTAATTTATACTATATTTTATTTAAATTCGAAATTGACCTTATTCAGCATCGATGAAGTATTATTAAAGATGGCGGGTCAAAGGCAAATTTTTGTGACTGTCAAATGGACTCAGGAGTAATTGAAGAACGATAATATTACCAACTGTTTTGATTGTATATATTGACTGTATATATCCAGGATAACAAATACGATCGTTTTATGTACCACCAAATTATGTATTACCAAATTATTATTTGATTATCGACAGTGAAAAGTTTACATGTTATTTTTCAATTTTCGTAACGTTGTTTGCAACGTTTGCTGAACGCGTATACGTGTGTATATACAGCAAAAATTAAAAAATAACATATGAACTTTTCACTCAATAATAAAATAGTAATTTAGTCTCATAAAACGACACGATCGTGTGTGTTATGCTCGGTAATGGATGAATACTCGGATGAATTATTTTGTCCTTGTTTAACATTTAGAATAACAATTAAGGACAAAATAATACATCATGCTCATTATGCATGAAACAGAACACATCCTAAAATGATTAGTATATAATGTCATTGTTCTTCATTTACCTTCAGACCCTCTTAACAATCACGAAAATTTACCCTTGATCGGTCTTTAATATGATACCTCGGTATTTAAAGTTCCCAGCAAACAGATTATAACTACAATATTGCAGCAACGTTGTATTATAATATTTTTGCAATATATCTGGAATGTTACAGTGTTGCTGCAGCATCGCAGTTATAATTTGTTTACTGAGTTATATTACTTTAAAAATAAAACTTAATCACAATCACACACTTTACCGATTTCGAAGAATTGACTTGCACATTCTCGCAGTCTTTCCAATCGTGATCTTTTAAATCAGGGGGATAAACATGTTGATGTGGCAAATCATTTCCCGTATAGATTTGCAATCCAGGATGATTCGAGTAAACCTCCAAAAATCGTCCGGAAGTAGGATGCAAAATTCTTTTCATATAATTGATGGAATAAATTGATTTAAACAGAAAAACATTTTACATTGTAGAAATAATCCAGTAGTATAGTATGGGATATAGTAGCGGGTTCTAATCCAGGGGATCGGATAACACGGGAAGATTACCGAGCGTGGAAACGGTAACACCAGCTGCTGGGACTGTTGACGCACAGATTGTGGTTGTAACCACCACCCGGTATACCGTATAATCGACGCTGGTTCAGCTGTACTGGTAAACGTAGGTCGCATTCTGTACCGTCTACCGAACATATAACGTTTATCGGCAAGTTATTCCTGAAGACCAAACTGTCAGCATTGACCGTAAGGACGTGTTTCTTCAACTCCTTCGAGCCTGTACCCTAAAAAAAAATTATCTCAATGTCGTAATATAGGGAAGTTTAGAACAAATAGTTTCAATCGGAAAATCAATTTGAATTTCTAAATCTAGATTTTTTATCCTTTCCTCTTCACTTCTTTAAACTCTGGCTCTTAATTTCTCAAAACGATAAATGCTTGAGTTTCATAAAAAAAATATCATAAATTCTAAATTTCAAAAAAATGTTATACTATATAAATTAACATAAAAACATTTAACATATTTATTTTCTTCGATTTAGAGAATTTCATGCATTCCAAAGTTAAAAGAAGAATTAAAATATTGATTATATTAAAATTTTTTCCTGTAACAGACAAATATTAAATCTCAAGGAAACCAATGCTTTATATTCATCTCTTACATGTCCGGCGAGATTGAACAAACAATAATTAGTAATATTGATGGGAGTGGGGCTTGTGCTGGTGGCACGGATGTTGATGTGAAGTTGATTGTCGTCCGTCCAGGTGTACTTAATTTGCGTTAACACGTCACCGGGATATCCCTGACTGTAGCTCTGGCTCAAATGCGACATCACCTCGTCGAAGAACACAATATAAAACAGGCAGTAATTTTAACAATTTCGTGGCTCACTTTCAGGGAATAAGTTACATCGTACCACTCGATTGTTCACTATCTGCGACTGCCAATTAACATTGTCGAACGCGAATGTATCGCCATTGAAACGATCCTCTCCAGTCCCGCCGTTAATCGACAAAGGATAAATTACGTTGCCGGGTTGCATCGGACTGCCGGAAATGCAATTGGCAACGCGACCAATGATGCTTCCCATGTATCTGTTCTTCAAATATCCTAATTATGTTAGCAGCAATAGTGAATACTTAAAATATATATAAAATATAAAAATTACTAATTTTAGCATTATACAATTTCCAATGTAATTATATCGAAAAAAAGGGAAAGAAAGATGTCGTACAATAACGCATCTGATCTAACCAACATTCTTAAATAATCCGCTTTTAAAAGACAATGCTTTGTTAGTAAAAATTTTACCATCTATGTTGTCGAATCCAAAAACAACGTCGGCCAGTTTACCATCTCGATTGGGAACTTTGATTGATTGAATACCAGCACCCCAGGATATCAGACGAACAATCGCCTTGTGTTTATTCGTTAGAGTGTACCTGTTTAAAAATGACATTCCAATCAATATAATATATTAATGGAATAGAGGCGATTCTCTAATATAGCGCTTAGATTTCTCATTTTTGTTAAATTCTCTATTCAAATTTAACAAAAGCAAAGAAATTTCACGTCATATTATATAGTTTCTACAAAATATCTAACTTTTGCCTCAATGACAGATACAGATCCCAAATACAGATATTTCAGATAAAAGCCAGATTGAAGCTGTAGCTTCTTTTGCATAATCAACAATAATCTTGCAATACCTTCTAACGATCTCGCGTGATTTCTCCAATAAAGCACCAGGTGACCTTGGCACGAATCCAAAGCCATCCTCTTCAATCAAAACATCCCCGAAAGACATGATTCAAGCGAATATTGAAACTTCAAGAATTATTCATTCTTTTATTTCGCTCTTTAGATCACATTTCACTTGCGCCATACATCCTGATTGTAATTAAAAAGAATCTAATTGCAACAATTACGCTAAAATTTAAATTTAATAGAAACGTCTAGCCTCAAATTCAAAGTGTTGAAGTCAGTAACTTTAAACGCATACTTCCAAACTTCCGTTTCATTCATATGAACCAATCGTTTCTCTCTCGCTCCATTTTGCCATCTTTTGATATTTCTTCACAAATGCGGAATATTTACGAACAAATTAATCGTATTTCTTATTCAACAAGAAATATAACTAAATTTTTTTGAACATTATAACATTCGGAGATTGATGGGATAATAAAAGATAAAAATTTGATTTTTAATATTTTAATTAATACAAATTCAATTTAAGACCAATACACTTTTTATAGATAGTGTGCCAAATTTTTTACTTTACATTATTATTTACACGGAAAGAACGATTTTGTTGAAAGGTCTAAAAATTTTGCTAAAAACAGATCTGAAAATAATTTTTTGTTGAATCGTCAAAATAATTTGTTGGAATGTCAAAGCTGATAAGCATTGCTATAAAACGTTTTTATATTCTAGCAACATCACTTTGACTTTCGCACAAAATTATTTTGATCATTGAACAAAAATTATTTTCAGATCTGGATTCAGCAAAATTGTTCTTTCCGTGTAGCTATTTCTGTCATTCAAAATTTTATATTAAATGGCATTTATTTTTTGCGCAAACGTCTTAAAAAAAATTTGACAGCATCGAGTCCTCAGTGACTACCGGGGCGCCACTAAATAATCAAGCAACGAATGATCATAGTAATCAACTTGTTAACGAGTCAATCATGATGAATTAATATTTTAGTTCCTAATACATATATTCGATTGTATATCATTAATTCTTCTGTCTCTTTAGTTGCCTCTCGAAATGCCCACAAATAAAGAAACATGAAAGAATATTTCGAAAGGACATTTCAACCCCTAATTCGACGTATTGTGGTTGTCCACATTCTGACAACCAACCACCCTAATTCCCTTTTCCCGATGGCGCCGTCGAGCGTGTCAAAAAAAAATCGCGGATCGCGGTACCACACACGATTCGATTATCCCGAAGGGATACCGCCGCTTCTCTTTATCGTTCCCAGTTCGCGCCCTGATCGGGGGGGGGGAGAGGAAGGGCTGCCACCCGACTTCCCCGCTTCCGCGCCGTGCTTTAGAACAGTCGATGGAAATAATTACATTAATGGCGTCGCCGACAAGAGAGCGCGGCACAACCCGGGCGCCACCTCTTCCCTCCACCCTCGCACGGAAGGCATCCCCCTCGAATGGGAGCGGAGCAGGCACCTCGACGGAAACTCCGCTCCCTGCACCCCCGCCGCGCTAACGCCGCCGTCGTCGCCGCGGCGCGAGCTTGTACAGAATGGCGCGCTCGCACCATCTCGCACGGCGCTGGAGCGGGCGCGGAGCAAACCCGCGCGAGCTTTCTTCGTCACAATGGCGTAATGCCATTCTCGACGCGGTAACGCGACAATGGTGCCGCATCCCGCCGCTGGAAAGTAATTATCTTAATGTTCTGACGAGCCGGCGCGGAATGGAGACACTCGCTGGAAACGACGACAATTCGTCGTCGTCGCGGGGACGAGGAGGCATGCAGGGGGCAGAG